TTTCTTTGACATTCTTTTTGTACGCAGTGATGCACTAGCTGTGTCATCTAGGATTTTAGTTAAAGACTGACATGCCTTATTTACTCCCTCTTTAGTAGTTGGGACGGTGGTAGTTTGAAATTCACATATGGCTTCTATGTTTTTTTCACTTTCCAGTTCACGGAGGAATTTATCTGCAGAGTCGATGCCCCAGATGTACTGATCTTTGTATTTTTAGAGGGGAATAACTTTTGGTGACTCCTTGAAACCCTTACTTGCAATTGTAAGATCTAGAAGACAGTGATCTGAGATATAGTCAATTGGGTGAACAGTGAAATACTTTACACTATCAACTAACTTATCACTCAAAACTGCATAATCCACTGCACTACAGCCATTTTGATTGTAACATGTGTAGTACCCTAATGAATTTCCTAACACTCTTCCATTCAGTATTCTCAAATTGCTGCTAATGCATAATTCTACAAGGGTTCTTCCCTGGGAGTTTATGATACTGTCTAAGTTGTTCCGAGCAGGAGTGAGCATATCTGTGGGGTGGCTACCAGGCACTGGGATACCGTGTGTGTTATCATTTTTGATATAATCTGGGAGTGTACCAGTTCGAGCATTAAAATCACCCATGCCATTTGACTGATGCTGAGCTATTTCTTCCTCAAGGATGTCAAAGGTTGCTTCATCAAATCTCCCATTCTTTGGCTTAACATAAACTGCGCACACAAATAAGTCTCTTTGGAGACCAAAACACTGTCCTGGTAGCCTTATCCATAAGGTATTTTCACTTTTGCTAGAGATAACATGAAGAGCACCACTAAATTGTTTTCTGTAATATATAACTATACCGCCAGATGGGCGACCTTTTGTTTTCTTTTTTGTTTTTATTTTGCAGAAGTGGCCATGTGAGCCACTAGGTAGGACCATTTTTGATCTCAGGGTACTAAAAGTTTCTACACATATGAAAATATCAAAATTTTCTACCATCTCAACAAAGTTTTCATCAGTACGTTTCTTTGCTAATCCTCTAATATTTCTCATACCGATGCGTAACATGTTTCTATGTAATTATTGATATCTCTTTAAAAACATACAAAAAGACCTATCCACACTACTTCAATTAACTTATTCAGTGCTATACTAGTAAATTAGTCAGAGATCTTCTTTTTCGTTTTGTTGATATTCACTTACTAGTAATAGCTTTCATTGTTCACTTAAAGCTTTCAGTTGGTCACTTATAGCTTTCAATAATTTAAAAAAAAAAACAGCTTAATCTTAATTATTCAATATATCCTTATCTGACTTAAGGATTATATGTAGTGATTTTACAGACACTTTCTTTATATTAGTTTCAATGGGAAAGTAATTGGTAAACTTAACCATTGTGTATATTTAGGATATGAACAGAAAGCTATAGTGTGAATGTTTTCAATAACTAAACTCTTTCATTTTATAGGTTGTGACTATTAGTCTTTCAATGTAAAAAATACTTATAATGACTATGGGTACTTACATATGGCATCCACTGGGTATTTATAGTTCTTTACTTGTGAGAGATCAAATAACTAGCCTTGGAAAAGAATTACCTTAGCTTATGTTCTAGTTTGATTAAGCAGTCTCTCAGCATTTTAAGTTCATTACCAATATTGGTATCCTTTTGTGGCACTGGTTGTGGCTGATGAATGTCATAGTTACGCCGATGTTGGTGTACATGCTGGACAGGAAAGGTACCGCGAGGTTTGTGTCTGGCAGCTTGTTTGATGTTGCGAGCAAGCAATATTGTCCCTTTAAAGTTCAGGTGAATTCCATCATGGCTAAACAACCACTGCTTGTCAGTGACAGGGGCGTAACCAGACCTTTAAAAATTGTACGCACAGATTTTTAAAATACCCAGCATGTACAGCAAAATGTAGACTAACGCAACAGATGAAGGACAGCGTAATCACAGCATATGTACCACACATCGTAGCTTAATTTCCATTAATGATAAAATCATCATTTTAGTCAAAAATATTCTCGCGATTTAATAAAGTTTCAATATTTTTATTTACCCAGAACGGTATATTCATTTAAAAGGAGGCTAACTTCGCATCAGCGGACTCCTCTCCCCTCTTCGAATAATCCTGGATCCTCCTCTGAGTTGAACTTATATGCGGTTTCATCCAGCTTTCATGCGGGTGCATGGCTCCCAAAAACAACCAATTATATGACACAATAGAGCTCTGATACATCTAAGTTTAATTATTTGTTTGTGAAAATTGCCCATGCCATCCTGTTAGTTTGGAGGGCTAAGCTGGATCAAGTCCATGTGAAATTCTTTGAAGCTTTGCAGGAAAAATTCTTCCTTTGTTTCTGTAGCTCCTTATTAAACCTGGTGTCCAGATTTTATCTGGTGCCCCCAGGTGTACGGGAGCTGCTCTTTGAAAATAACACACTGGTAGATTTTACCTGAGATAAATATCGTCAGCGATAGTGCGTTCGTTACTCTCATGACAACAGAAGAGTTGAAGGCCACTTAACCCTCCAATTAAGAGGTAAAGGATGTTCCAGTTAGATGGACGATTTAGATAGGACTTGTAAAGGTAACAGGTATTGTTTACCTCAGTTTAATAAAAGTATGCAAGACCGGGGGGGGGGGAGGGGGGGGGTCGGAACAATTGTGCGTATACAGAGGATTTGTACATACAGGTAACTAATTCGCAGAGGATTTTCGATATATATTCCGTGAAAAATACACTAAATTTATATAAAATAATATCATGGTTGGCCGAAAAATTGTACGCACAGTGCATCCGTGCGTATGCCTAGTTACGCCCATGAAGTGATGTCAGTGTTCTGGATGTAGGTAACATTTTCCAATGATTGACAATATCTTTGGGTGAGAGTGCCCCAGTTGCTCTCCTCGATTACTGCCTTTGCATCTGATATTTGTCCACCGCTCAGAGCAAAACAATGGCTATTGGTCCCAGGGAAAATTTTGTTAGCATTGAGTCCCTTTCCAATTGAGCTAGATACTATTGCATTATCAAGGGGTCCTGTGTTGATCTTAGAATTCCATCTTATATGTCCGGTGCCTTTTTCCCTGTTCACGGGGTGTTGGATACTAGTGCCATCACTGTTTGTGGAGGTTGTGGTGATTTGAGGTTGTACATCTAAACTCTCAGTTACTTTACCCTTGGGTTGGTAATATTTGTTTTGTGCAGCTCCACTAGGGGGTGTGGTGTTAGTAGAGGATGCACGTGGACCCTCTTCTCCTACCTGTATCGTGGGCACAGGTGAACATGTCATGTTGCTGGTCTCTACGTGATCTAGTTTGATGTTGGTTAACACAGGTAGTTTGATGTTGGTTAACACAGGTAGAGGGTTGGGCTTCAGCAATAGGTTACCTGTAGTTTCTGATATCTGTGACTCCTTGCTACCTGGACCATTGTTTGGGAGAGGCATCTCTGCAGGTGTTTGTGGCGAGGTGCAATTATCTGTCACATCTATGGTGCATTGTACTCCACAGTTTGTTGTTGGTGATTGGGGAGGAGGTATGTCACACTGAGTTCCAGTATCTGATGTTGCAGAGATGGTGGGAATAATGGCGCATTGGGTCCCTTCATTCACACTTGTTGTTTGTTTTGTAGTAAGCTGGCATCCAAGCTTCCCCACTTGATCTGATAATGTTGTTAATTGGGCTGTTAAGTGGGCCAGGGTGTCTTTCAAGTCTTTGTATTGTACTGCATTGACTGTAGTTAGCCCAGTAAGCTGCTCCTCTATGGCTTGTAACTTTTCATTGCTAGTCTTGGTATCCTGTCTCTCTTTATCTGCAGTTTTAAGCATTAATACTGAGTACTGGTTTTCAATTGTTTGAAGCGTTTCTTGTATTTTGCAAATTTCTTTCTCCGATTTCATGTTCCTGGGACTAGAATAAAGTTTGCTTGTTTTGAATCCTTTGGGTGTTGAAGAATGGCGGGGTTTTGTTGGCTTTTTAAGCTCAGTTTGACTGTTATCTAATATTGCTGTGTCAAATTCTTCTGCTGATTTACTGGTAATTTCTGTGATTTCGGTTTGTACTACTGCCTGGCTGGCTGCCACTGCTGGCTGGATCTTTTTGGGTGTTGATATGAGCATTGCAATTTTGGGATAGTCATTTGCGAGCCAGAGCATATAGGCTGCTCCTTGGATATGTATTTTCTTGGATTTGGCTGTACTGTAGAAAGTTAGAGAAACATGTCCTAGTTTAGATCCCATAGGGCCTATATAGGGAAATTTGAGTTGTGAGCCTGATCCTGAATTGACAACATCTTCCGTGGCTTGCTTGTGGTATGATTTGCAAGCTTCAAACCACTTTTTCACTAGGGGCACAGTACTGATTCCTACTATGGCACATTGGGCATTGTGGGCTGTGGATACGATGTTAGGACCATAGTACTCGTTTTGATAGTCATAGTCTGATTCAATCCCATTTTCCTGGTCATATACTAGTCTGGATTTTGGATTAATTAGTGTGTGATAAGCTTCACTATATTCTTGAAGTAAGATTTGAGTATTTCCATTGAACTCATTCAGGTTACTTGCCTTTGAGGTGAATGCATCCTTTATCTCTTCAGCGGTAGCATCAGGCTTCACTCCTAGCTTAGTGTAGTGATTGTAGTGGTTGTCCTCCATCTTTGTTGAGACTGTCTGTTTGCTCACTGTAAGTGTTTTCCAGAATTTAAAGACTTTTCACATAAGCTTTGCCTTATATATTTCATCCAGTGGTATGCCTTGGACTTTAAAAACAATATTCACACTGATTCAGTTGCATATCAGTAGCTGGTATAGGTATTTTAGTAAAACTTTTAGAGAGCTCTGTGCATCCTCTCAGATGAGTCGGCCATCTTGAAATTGAAATTTGAAATATAGCCAACCACTTAGGGCCCCATTCAGAATAGAGGACTAACTAGTCCGAGGGTCAAATATGGCGACCCACTACAAAGCTTGCCGTTTAATCCGCTAATAGACACTGAATAGGTATCCCGTGGGGAAGTATTCAAGTGGGTCGGCCATATTTGACCCTCGGACTTTTTAGTCTCCTATTCTGAATGGGGCCTCAAAAGCATTGCTGATTAATCTCATGATGGTCCCCCCGTCTCCACACGTGCCGCCCCTGCATACGAAGCCGAGATTTAATCCGTTTAATGGCGCGTGTGGATGCGGGGAGATCATCAGTGGATTAAGCGGCTTGCTTAGTGTGTGGATGAGCTAGTCCTCGGATCATCTGTTCTGAATGCGCTCAGAGGGAAAACCGCATATTCAGTTGCATAGCAGTTGCAAATCAATCGGCGTCCTGTCAGCAACCGGTTCGATGTTACAAATGTGTTTTTTCGGTCGCCCGTAGGTTTTCGTTAATGCACCGAAACTAGACACTTACTAAGCGTTCGTTAGGAAACCATTTTGCGAGTTGAAGCAACAGCTCGCCAACCACTTTGTGCAACCGGTGGCAGTTGCAAGTAGCAAAGATGTTTTTGTTCAGTGTGACCGTAAATGCACAGGCCTTGCAAACTCAAAGAGACCAAGTATTGAAGCAAAACAATGTCAAGGGATACTGGAAGATTAACAAGTACCAAAACATATCCAAATTTATAATTGTTATTATCACAGTGCTTGTTACAAATCGAATTTGATATATATTGTAAAATGAGCAGAATGCGTGATTAAGTACAGACCCAACTTTGAAATATTGCAGCAGCCAACACGTTTCCTGCTCTTTGTGAAGGTACCATTTCACTGAAAGTTGTCTACAACGCTTTTATTGTCTTCTTAGACTGGAATTGATGTGGAGCCTGCTACTGTCATAATTTTGCAACATACATCATCTGTGCGAACTTGTGATTATCAGTGGCCGATCGATCGCTACTACCCTGCAACCGGTTTTCAATATTGGTTGTGCGTTTCCTCATTCTGACCATCCTGACCATACGCTTACAAATCGCCGTAGCCACTTACGATGTCATTAAAATCTCAAGAAAAAATCGTATACGATTTTATAGTACGGCGTTCGTGGCTAATGTGTTCTAGGGTTTAGTCTTGCGCTGTATTTCTTTTTTTGGCACATTGCTGGTGGTCTGCTGGTCGTGGTATGCTGATCAATTTCCTGGAGAACCAATACTCTGCACTCCCGTGTCTATATTGTAGGCCTACTGTTTTGTCTTCCAAATACCGCAAGTTTTCAAATGTTTCTTGTGAGCAATATATACATGTATATATGAGACGGGAAATTTATACGAGCGCCTGGGAAAAGCATCATGTCTGCTTTCTTAAGTCTTCCTTTCTACGGATCTGCTAAGGGTGACCTTTTTAGTTTGATTTAGATTTTTAAGGTGGTCAGATTAAATGCTAAGTTTTCTCCTTTGCTATAAATTTTCTAAATTTTGAAGAAATCCAAGAGTGACGTGGCCTAATCGGGAACAAAGTTGGAAGTACCTGAAAAATATGCGCATAGTAAATTATATATTTTTCAAGTGGATATCGACTGTTCACCTTTTTTTACTTATTTGAATTAAAAGTCAAACTTTAAGTTGAGAATAATGATTTAATGATATAAAATCTCTGAAATAATTTTCTCTGCTTACGCTTGAGCTGTGCATCTACTTCTGCAAGCATGCATTCTTACAAATATATCTTTACAAATCTATTTTCTTTAATTTCTTTTTTACTTTTTTAACAGAACGTTAATAAACAAACGAACAAAGGGTACCTTTAATACTTCAATTTTGTGAATCTCGACGGTTATTTTTGTGTATAGATCCATGAGTTTTGTATCCAGTACTTTGTACATATTGGGATTGAATACCATTGAGCTGAGACCATCTACCTTTTGGACCTCCAATGCACGTTTCAATTCAAAATGCCTAAAAGAGAATATTTGAAGTCTTAAATCATGTCTATGCAGTATGTGCTGAACCGTAGGCTGAGGTATATTTTTACAATGCATTTAAGCGCGTCAGATGTACAGCGTGTGGAAATGAAAAAACTCCTTTGTCAAAAACTATATAAAAAACTTATTACACACGTGAAATACTTCTGCGTGCCATCGGCCATCTTCATCTGTCTCAGAGCAACACAGGTGGCGTTATGTCACTAGTAGAAATATTTCACGTGAGTGCTAGGTTTTTTAGTAAGTTTGCGACAAGAAAAAAAAACTACTGAGAATGATGGGTCTGGATACCCGTTATGGGTACTGAAAGTGATTAAGCCATCATCGTTTTAGTGAAAATTCCTTCTATACACCAATGTGACACATGATCATAGCTTTAAAGAGAACTACTATATATGTATTTATCTATATCTTAAAAGCGTTATAAACCTTATTGGGTTCGCTTTGTTGCCGGCTTCTGCACCGTGTTTCAGCATGGAGTACCTTGCTACACTGTCGGGTGGCCGGATCACTGTTAAGCCACGGTTGTCCACCCTGAAAAATAAAGAACCATGGACAGTTGGACGGACGGACGGACGGAAGAAACAGATAGAAAAACTGGTGGATATACTGTAGACGGACAAAAGCGTGAGTTATTTAGCAATCAGATAAAGAAGCAAAAACCGTATTGGCTTTAGAGTTTAATCTATTTATAATTGTATAATAAGAAGTATGAAAAAACTCAACACTGGCAGATTTGTGTTTTTGAAGGCAGCTACGTCAAAAACGGGTGCAGGTCATCAGAAAACGTTAAAAGGACAATTTACAAAAAAAATTGTGTACCTAGCTGATGCACACTAACTCCACGGGGACTCTAGCTGAATTCAGTCAGACTTACTTGCCTCCTCCAGGCGTTGAGTAGAATATAAAAAAGCTGGTGATTATACGTTTGAAACAAGAAGAGGCGTGTTAGTCTGTTAATCTGATTGCATTCAGCAAGAGTCCCTATAAAGTAAGTGTGCATTAGCTCGGTCCACAAAATTCATTGGTAACGGCCCCTAAAAGATTAGTCGCCAAGACCCGAGTAAGCCCATGACGATCAACAATTGACACGGAACTTACCGTCGTTTGATATCATCATCTTCTCCGCCCCAACCAAAATACCTGTTTGGAAAACCGTTTATGAATTTGAAGTGATCCTTGCTAAATGCCACAACACCTCCAAACAGGCTGTCGTACGGTATTCTTCAAATGAAAAGGTAAGAAAGAGACGTATGAAAAGATGATCCAATTAAAGTTCTTAGTTCTCAGCATCTCATCAACAGAAGACTGGTTTTGGAAACATAATCCCTTGGCGGATTTACCAAAATCAATATAAAATCCTATTAGAATATCTTATCAAATTACTTAATTTTAAAACAGAACGAATTTTTCAAACGCTATAAAAGGCCAACAACAGCGTCTGGCATGTACACAAAGATTTCTTACATTTAAAAAAATCTGTTATATTTTCTCATTACTATATATAATAAGCTTCAGATCAGATCTGCTCCCTTTCTTTTCCGATATGTACATGCATATCAAAAAGATATTCATTTCACTGTCAATGTTCCACTTCTAAGTGCCGGCATACAATATATGAATCGGTACAATGAAGACACCCCCTCCCGTTGTTTCTAAACTCAGGTTACATTTATAGTATGCTTTGTGAGTTTCTTTTTTTCAATAATAATAATAATAATAATAATAAAAGAGGAGGCCTAATATCAAACCCATTTTAGTTAAATATCACAAATAATTTCGAGTTGCGCTCTTGAGTAATTGCAATTAACTTTATTTGCATTCTCCAAAATTTAAAAAAGCCACATGTACCTGTAGTCAAATTTATCTATATTCACGGACATGTGTTTGGGTGTGACGGAGCAGCTATACAGATTATCGTCCATCTCGGGAAGAAGGTCCACGTCGTGAAATACAATGCAGGAAAAATTCCCGCGTTTCATCGCTTCTAGAAACCCGATGTTCATCAGCATACCTCGATTGAATTTGCAACCTTTAGCCTAGCAGTGGGAATAAGGAAAAGTCAAATATTGTAATGAATAATAATATAACATTTTGTCAAACATTATTATAATTGTAATGAAACGCTAAGCTTGTGGCTAGTAATTTTACGTTGGGGTAGTTAAATCGTGGCTGGAGTCGTTAATTTGTGCATTTGTGCTTCAAAATCTAAGGCTCATGTTAGAAAACGGCAATTATCGTTTAAGAGGCCTGGTAGTAAATAAATAGACCGAAAGAATGTAAAGGTGTCGTGTTTTATACCCTCTGTAACAACAAAATCAAAAGTCAATACTATCGTCATAGAGGCGGAGGACTGAAAAGAAAAAGGGACATTTGACTTAAAATGTCAGATAGAGAAGTAACGATCATAGGACAAAAAACCGATAACAACCGCATACTATCAGAAACGGAGATGTCAACTAGTCAAATGAGCAGGGAATGAAGGATAAGACTGGGTTCCCACAGATTAAGATCGATCTATCTGGATCGACCTAACTCCCTAGGGGTTCACGCTAAATTGCTGTCAGCTTCCGGGAGCCGAGCGCGCACAAAAGTTAATTACCCCCTTACAGCTTTTAGTAGGCGGGACAGACATTAAAGCCGGTTAAGCTGACAGCAATCTAGTGAGACTCTCCAGGGGGATAGATCGATCTAAATATCTGTGGGAATGGTCTCTAAGAAAATGCAGTTTGGGGATTATAGCAAAGAATCACTCTTTCAATTTTTAGATGACATCATAGTAGCCACACTTTAGACGATCACCTTAGCGATGTAGATGTCAGTTTTACAAATGTTGAGAAAAGTGGACTTGACATTATCGAAACGTTTCATATCGCAAAGAGAGGTCAGGTAGTTGGGGTATGTAGTTTCAAAAACCGATATTCGCGTTGACTATGCAAAGTGCAACGCAGTACCAGAATTCCCAGTCCATTCAAATTTTAAAAAGTGCACGAATTTCTGGGAGTAGTGAATTATTGGGCATTGTTTTTTTTCCATGACAATTTTACAGTTGAACAATATGAAGGATAAAATCATACAAATGCGGACGTAAGCCTCGCTCTAGATTTTGACCTACTTAGGTCAGACTAACCCTAACCATTATAACTACCCCTGTATATGAAGCGCAGACTTTCTGTTACACGGACCTTCGTTACACCGGGACCTAAATAAATATATTGCCTGTCATATCAGTGCACATCTGTCTTTAAATTGCCTTAAGCTTTCAATCAATGGTCTTGAGAACTCGTCAGATTGGAGCTTATCTATACCTGTTGGAAGTGTTTCAGAACTGAGAATTGCATAATATTGTCAATCAATGGTCTTGAAATAATAAGTGGCTTAGTAAGGGTTTACAATTTTCCATATCCCGAGAATGAGTTTTTTCCTGTATCTTATTATTCAGTAATGCATCTACCCTTGTGCTGATAAAAAAGTTACCGCTCGGTAATATAAAACATCGACGTTTATATTTTCGTTGCTAAGCATTAGCATAGGCACCTCAAAGCTTTTATATTCTAATTCGCTGATGCTTAAACGTATATAAATTATTTGTCGTCTAATAAGTCTCAACGACTAAAACCATTTCATCTTCAAACATAAAAATCATTTATTTATAAATTGCAAGGAATCGATGTGTCTCTGCCTGTGTACAGACAGTACAATATCACATAAAAAGCCTTTGCTCCATCACCAGTCATTAGAGTAAGATCTACCGCATAACCCAATTCCAATTCCAATTCTGTCTTTTTAAATTGATCAACAACTAGTTTTTAAATTTTCTTTAATAAAATACAAATAACAAGTTTGAAATTGAAAATCTAACATGCATGAAAAGCCAATTATAGTTCCAGTGTTATACTATTAAAATCCTATTTCAGCATGCAAAATATATATTTCAAAAAGTTTGCATCGATCATGTTTTGTTTGCTTAACCTTTTTGTTTTAGACTTTGAACACATGAATGGAATTTGTAAATATTCTACACAATATAATTCACTTTCATTAGTTTTGAATTTAAATACAGACTTGACATTTAATATGGAATATTTTTTTCCAAATCATTTTTCATCAGTTTTTTCCTATTTTGCAGACTGATAAATGAAAATAAGGATGAAAATCGTGCTTTAATAACTTTTAATTATCTCTTTGATGTCATTGTGACATCAGTTCATCAATGGAATTCGCCAGAAAAGCAAACAAAAACACATTGCCTATTCTATGTCATACGACAACCATTAAAAGGGATATTTTGGACCTCCATATTTTCCAAATTATTGTCTGTAAAAGAGTTAAACGCTCCACAAAAGACCCTCATGTCAGTTTCTAGTCACAGTAACGGTCGCTGTTACGCCTGACTTCTTCTGGCTGCTACTAGCGCTCTCAAGTGGCAAGGTATTCCTTGGGATAGGTTTTTAAAGTTTAATCTGGAATAACATTCCATGCATCGGTCAAAATCTGCCCAATTTGGTCCAATATTGTTGTAGGATATGTAGGCCATTGATTCGGAGAGTAACGGCCTACCAACATATTGTCTCTGTGGTTCAAATATGGCGATTTTGATGACCAAGGTAGCTGCTCATTCCCTTGGTTCTGTAAGTAAACTGCTATTAAAAGTGCTCTGTGTGAACCGGCAATCTCACCATGCAACCTAAAATTGTTCCTAAGTTGTCCCCTATCAAATGATAGCCAAGTGGTTCCCAGATTATTTCTTTAATCGATCTGGTTCAGGTTTTCGTCAATGACTACCATTGGTGTTTTGGCACCAATGTGGTATCCACTCCAAATACTGACGCTGTTAATGACCTTAGTCACTTTAGACGCGGCACACGCTTCGTCGTTGGCCTCTTCTGGATGTCTGTAAACTCTGTTTTGACTGTTGAGCGGTACAGGTGAAATCTGACCTCAATAAAGAAAGCCACGAGATTTCAGTGTTCAACCCAGAAACAGCCAAGGTCCTCAATTCAATAGAGAAACATACAACGATGTTTTGCTGTTTACAGTGGGTTCCTCGGAGGTCGTCTGGTATTCAAACCTGCTAAAACCAGTTTGGTGTTCGCTAAGGGCCTTGAAAAATGCGTTTTGGTGGTAATTTACCCCTCATTCTGAACGGACTTGGTGGTTTTTGTTTATTTGCAACAGCACATCCCGAAAGACAGTGGGTCCTGTACCCTGGTGGTAAGATTTCAATACATTGGGTGTGGCCTCTGTGTAGGTACATCAGTCTGGGCATTACTCTGTAAAACAGTGCGGACCGTTTCGTTTGGCGCAATTGCCTGCCTGGCAATGCCTGTCTTTTTCCCGCCATTCTGCCACAGATTAACATATTTGTAGAGCACTGCATAGCTCATTTTACACACTGCAAACCCGACGACTTGCTTGCAAATTTTCAAATTTTTCTATGCAGTAGTTGCCGACATATGGATACTTTTTTGACAGAACCATGCTTTGCCAAAGCCTAGCTTTGAACTGCCCAAAGGAGCACTACCCAATCATATCACTGCATATTACATAATGCAGCAGCGCAACAAACCTGGTAATCACTTAATTGGTAGCGACACACCTGACTACACACTTCTCCATTCACATATCATCTATGAGATCGGAGTTTGTGAAAAAAAAACGCATTTTCACCTAGGCGTACATTCGAAACTGAAATATTCCATATTAAATGTCAAGTCTGTATATGGACAGTATTAATTAGATAAAATGTTACTTATTAAAAAAACGTAAATTTATTGAGAATAAAAATTTAAAATGCCCTTCTGTAAGCGTAATTTTTGAGAGATGATTCTGTACAGTATTTACGAGTGTAAATAATATGCGTTTGACAGCATTTTCTTTCAAATGTGATTCTTTAGAAATGTGCGCATTAACTTTTCTTGTCTTACAGACAGACACAGAGAGGACTTAAGGTCCGAAACCAGAAGGCCACATGGAAAATACATCTAAGGTCTACAAAAGGCTGCCTCCTTTGTAGGGTCTTATCTAGCGCACGAAAATCTTTATTAATAATGCGATTTTGATAAATTATCACAGATGATGATTTAATCTAATTGGTGTGCTACACGGATAAGAAGGGCGCGTAGAAAGTTGCCTAGGTCTGTAAATATATGCGTTTTGGTGTCGGGGTGGGGGGGGGGGGGGCTCTCCTTTTCTTGCCACAGTATTTAAACATTTTATCTGGAAATTATTCGATCACCATTCGTCAAGGTGTCTATGCAGAAAGATATTTTTTAAACTAGCGGAGAGCACCTGCATTGGAGAAGACGACCTGGCAGAGAAAGACGGAAGATAAAGATCACTCTCACATACTTTTTCCCGTAAATATTTTGATATTAAAGACTCCCGTCCCTCTTCTCTTGTTCGTGTCCTTCTTTTCTACATTTACTGCATTTTATCACTTGTTTTCCCCGAAGTAAGAATGAATCGTTTGAGCAAGCGGGCTTGGTAGAAAAAGAGGGGAGATATGGACATCAATCTTATTTCCCGTAAATGTTTTTAATATTAAGGATTCCCATCACTTTTTCTTGATAGTTTCCTCTTTCCTCTATTTCTTTTCGCTGCACTTTTATCTGTTGACTTCTCTTAAATAAAATGAATCAAATCTAAATAAAACAAATAACGGAGAGCAGATTCTTTGGTGAAATTAACCTTATAAAACGTTAAAACATTCTTTATGAATAACGACCCATGCAGTAGTGTAAAATATTCATTTTGTAGGAGGTTGCACAGGATTAAATTCTCGATGCAATAAACGATTATTTCCTAGTCTTTCATTAGCCTACCAGCACCTAATTGAGAAAATTTTGATTCACCCCAAGAAGTTATAACTTCTTGTTCACCCTGACACTAGTACTGCCAACGAAAAAGTACTTAGTTTACTGGTGTCTCTTGAATATTTAGGCACTGTTGATGACCCCAAAGATTGAAATTTGCCGAAACCGATGCTTTATCGCTATTGTTTAATGATTAACAATTGCTGCCTGAGAACGCTCTTGGGATGTATACTAGTAGACCTAGACAAAGAATGGAATAGTTTTTAATATAAAGGTCAATTACAACCCAGTCATTAGGTAACACTGGACAACGAAACAAAGGGGCGACTACCAGTTGTTACTGCCATTGAATGAAATGTAAAAGGTGCGAAATCGGCCACCCCTTAATGCGATCATTAACCAGCAAACAAAGCGTTGTATTGTAATTTCCACCGCCGACAAGCGGGATATCAAAAAAAGTATGACAGTCTTTTTACTCCCACCATCCATCCCTAGGACGTACATGTACACATGAAAACAACATTGATAATTATTCTTGTTATAATACATGAAGTAAATTGAAAAAAATTAAAACTTTGTTAATTTGGACTTACTTCATACATGATGTTATTGTGTTCACGACAAAGGCTAATCAAATGCCATTTACCCTTAATGATTTGTTTGGGCGAACTCTCCTCCACAGCATTTGCACACGTATCAGTTAAAGATCTTTTTTTTAATTAATCTATTTCATAATTCAAGGAGTTGCAGTAAGCAAATGCAGTTATGTGACCGATCTTGCACAAACACTTAAGCCCTTGCCCTTAGGCAAATTGACACACCCGTAAGTCATTTTTGATAATTTTTTCTAATGCCCAACAAGAATTTTTGCATGGAATTAATTTTCCACCGCTCAGCTGGCATTCAGTAATATATCGCGAGGACATTGCACTAACCGATGAGAGGCTGTGGTTTAAGCTAGATACAACACTCGCCACCGAGCTGTACCCGAAAATTACTCAACCTATGGCTCGACATTTACGCTCGTTATTTTTCAAGTTCGGCGACTTGTATTGTATCTATCACTTATTACAATGACCAGGTAGCTTACCCAGCTGTGGTTTTAATTATCGCTATTTAGGTTCCTTTCGAAACCAGCTTCGTCTCCACGAAAACAACATACATGTACAGGGATAGAGGGATAGCTGTATCCAGTAACTTATGTAAATTATTTTGCAAAATACTTAATAATAGACTCACATCATTTACTTTTAAAAATAGCACGATCCCTACTAATCAAATTGGCTTTAAAAGAGGGGCACGTACAGTCGACCATATGCTAGTACTCAAATCTCTCATCGATAAATACCTAAATAAAATGGATAAAAATAAACTATATGTATGTTTCGTAGATTTTTCAAGCGCCTACGATACAGTATGGAGAAATGCCTTATTATATAAACTACAGCTGGCAGGGGTAGGAAATCTCTTTCTAAATATAATAAGTAATATGTATAAATCTGTCCAGTTTACTGTAAAAACACCAGGGGGACTGACAAACGTCATCAATACAAGTGTAGGTGTCAAACAGGGCTGCGTCCTCAGTCCCTTACTGTTTAACATTTTTATTAGGGACATTCCCGACCTGTTCAGCAACAATGAAAAATACAACCCTGTTCACCTTAGGGATAAACCTCTTAGTTGTTTAATGTACGCGGATGACCTCGTACTAGTATCAGAGAGCCCGGATGGACTTCAGGCNATAGGTATGGGCCACAGACTGATCGCTCGAGAAATTCACCAAAACTATAAAAAAAATCCTTCAAACGTATTAAATAGCAGAGGCCCATTCCCCTGATTGTAAGAAGCAAACAAAACAACGAGACGGCAGGTCGACATTCAGCCTAGAGCAAGGTGCAATACTGCCAAGTTGAAAGCTGTTAATTAAGTCGGATTATAGCGCGCATCAATTTACTTCCCGTCGCGCTTGGCGAGGAAGAACTCCCGTCTCCAAGGGTCGCCCGTACAATAATTTACATATGCTCTCCTCCCCCTGTGCGCTTAGGCCCTGTATGAGTCCACGTCGCTATTGTTTGCTACCCGCACAGGCTTTTGTAGTTTATCAAAACAACCCATTGTCTCTCAGGGGGCGTGAGTACAGAGTAAATACGTACATGGAGTATACGCATACGGATTGTCGCGCGAATTATGAGCACAACCAGTATATACAGATATACTCCACATCCTTCCAACTGAGCGACTGAAGATTTGCTGCCGTAGGATAGGAACATATTCAGACTGACCGCGAGTTAACTCAACAATTATACTCACTTTGAACGTATACCCATACTTATGGAGGTCAGCTGACATTGACGTCACGCCAGGCAACCGGAAGTCGAACTCTGGGACCTGGTAGCCCAATTTTTCAACCCTGCAATATTATGTAAAAAAAAACTGTATGCACACACCATAACACATGTAACAGACAATACTGTAACACCCACTAAAACTCGAGTAAATCAGATACATTTAACAACTCGACCCCAAGAAGGTCCTAGTTAAGTAATACAATAATATACATGTAATAGCAGTACCACTTGTTTCTTTACACCCCTGTACAACTGACCTCCTTTCTGATGATAGCTGTACCATGGAGACGAAAATTAACTCAACTCTACAGTGAATACAGAATGAATACTACCATGGCAACATATAACCACCAACACAAGCGTCAACATGTAGAGGTAGGCCGCGTCTGACGGCAATCTCAGAGATCTCAGGAATAGGGTCCACGACGCCATGACAGTACTGGGGTGCGGACGCCAGGAGGACGATCGTCTGCGCAGTGATCGCCTGCAACCAAATGAGTAAGTGAATAATTTATTGAAATTTAATGTGAAAGTTTTTAGCACAATGCGTGGTTGGCCAATATACAGTATCAAAAGGACATCCGATGTATAAGAAGTTACTGTTTATTAAAACAAACCAATTAAAATACGTTTATTAAAACAATACAAGGATACTAAAGTTTCACGAATTTAATTTTCTCTTCAAGTCTCGACTTTTCTTTAGGAATGTAAGCAAGTATGGGATCCACTTTGGGGCCCAATGCACCACAATCACCAGGTCTGAGAATTTTCTCAACAGCACCTCAGGGCAGTCACAATTAGTGATATTACTGGTGGAACCCCAACAAACACACGCTCACACACACGCGTCACACTCAAACATACACTCATACTCTCTCAATTTACAAACCACGCCCCCTGACTACCGTCTTCACGTGTTCATGTCTCTGAAATCGATGGTTCACTGACCAGCTCCAGACTGATGTAATGACCTCACCTGTTCATACTCCGCCATGTCTGGTCTCTGAGATCTCTGGTCTACGGCCACTGTGACCAGCTCCAGACCGAAGTAATGGGCCGCCTTCACGAACGCCGGGTGGATAGTGACGGGTGCTACCTGCAGCAATCAAACAGCGCTGTCAACACAGGGGAAGGTATTATGAATATTTTACCTCTTCGTATTATTTATTTTTACGTTATAAATTTCATTTTATTTCTTGTAAGGCTGTAATGTCACTAATTTCTAATACAATTTTATTGCAAAATAGTGTTGATACTGGGATGATTCTTAGCGTTTATATCATTTTGACTTTAAAAAAAACAAACATTTGTTTAAATCTATACTGCAATATATATCTACAGTTTACCTACCATGTTTGGAACTTTGATGTGAGGGAAAAGTTTCCTTGCCCTGTCCCTGTACGTTTTTACCGCCATAAGAATGCTTTCCGTGCCTCCTGACGTAAGAGAACCGACCACGTGACCATCCCCGTGAAGCATGTTGGCGCTCATAGATATCACTTCAGTTTCAAATTTTCTGAAAAAAGTAATTTTTTTAATTTGTTTTTTATTTTTAAACCTCAAGAAGCAAGTATACTTAACAGTTAGGAAATAAATCTTTTCATATGATACAAATTTAATCACAATGCTATTCAATGTTTTCAGTTTTGCCAATTTGTACTCATATGGTGGGTATAGAAATGTACATTTCATGAAAAATAGTTTACAAAATATTCTTATAGCATTGTTAAATTGAACGAACAACTAGAGTTATAATTTGTTATTTCTGCAACCAGTAGCGTACATGTATATGCAGTTGGTGTTACAAGAAAGTAGGTACCCGGTATATATACAGTAGAGCACCTGTACTGTGGGCCCGAATAAGACAGGGAGGGAAGCCATTTTAAGGTTAAGTCATCTAAAAGTTGTCGGAAATTTCAGCGCTTTTCGTGAGTGCTATTTTCCATAGGTATATATATATGTATGTTATCACGTGTCAGCCTACCGTAGACTGGGGAACACCATGGGACTGAGCGCGTTCTCGTGTAGGAAAGCGTGGTGGGCCTCCAGCACAAGTTTATCGTGGTGAGTAGAGAGCTGGGGTTGCTCTGAAACATAAAACACCAACAAACGTAAGGGATGTTCATTTAACAGCTTAACACAGTACGTGTGAGATCAATTTTGAACTCGAGAAGGCAATACTCAGTTTTGCTAATTTGTCTATCGCGACATTTCCTATTTTTACATGTACATGTCTTATAAAATGTGTGCGCTGTCTGTTCGCCGTGCTCTCACCAGTATAAAGGTTGAAAGCCTCGAGCTGCACTTGCTCCAGCTTGTCGTTCTCCTGTGTGTAGACATAGGCGAAGATCTTCCCTTCCTCCATCACAGCCACCTCCCGCTCCTTCATGGCGTTCATTTCCTTTAACAGTTCAGCTGGCGGAATTCCTGAGGAGACCAGAGATCAACTGATTACCAATATGAACAGTTCTATGCTGGTTGTGAATTTATATGTGTGAAACCTGGGTATCTAATTTACTTTGCACATGAAGCGACACGTGTTCTGCTAGAGAAGTACTGGTAGCCTATAAAAGTTGTAACCAGAATTTTAGACGAACATTTTTTTACTAAGAGGAAAAAAATATTTTGTGGTCGAAGAATTTCCAAAATTTATTTATTTAAAAATTCAACCGTCTGGTTGCTGCTAAAAAAACAAAAGGTGTACATGTACTACCTGTTCTTGGTATCACAACAATCCTCTTGGCGGCCGCCTGCGTCTGCCCGCTGGTTCGGGAGGGGTCACTCTTCACCTGGTTAATGAACCCCTGGACCTCATTCTGGAGCGTGGACTTAATCAGTGAATCCACCCCGGGAACGGTCAGTTTCAAAAACCGAAGTAGCTGACCGACTAGTCCACCGAGTCCGTGTAGGAACGCTGTCTGGACTGCCCATAGGATGACCAGGGTAAAGACCACGTGTTCCGCCCAGAGCAGGAAGGCTGAGAACATACATTGTACATATAAGACCATGCACGGTGATGTAGAAAGTTTATATACCAGCATATAGGCCCTATCATATATTAATTTTCATTTATAGGCCTACTTTTACTGTGTAAACATGACAATAAATAAATTATTATTATTGTTATTATTATTATTATTATTATTATTATTATTATTATTATTATTATTATACACAACTGTAGGCCTACACATGGTCTACAACATATATATATGTCGCATATAGATCTGTCGTATATATGACTCCTATATAGGCCTACTTGTGTGCAGTAGGTCGACAACGCCCTAATAAATAAACAAATAAATAAATAAAAGGAATGATAGAAACAAATTTACATGCATTAAATATTATCTGCCCTGTTTGATAAATATGGCAAAATGGAAGTCTTTGTGCACAATTGTAGGCCATTATTTTCAGTTGGCTGTGATCAAGCAACTGTTATTCTACACGGGTATAAATAGCCTACTGTGCGAACAAACTGTTGTGACAGGAATGGAAGTCCGCTAGGAATCGTAGTCTGTTCCCTATTACTTTGTACAGCTAGGTGACATATATATTCGTCCAATATACTAACCCCAATACTGCGACTAACCCTAACCTGTACTAATCATATGGGGTCCAGGCTTCCATTCCTACATGTAGGACTATCATTCCTGTCACACCGGCAGTGCTCTTAAGTTGTTAGTTTGTTAATGCTCGCTTTTATACATTCACAGTATAGGCAACTGACAGCTTGGCGTGTTTCTCTTACACCTAGGTTAATTAAGTCGGACCTACTTACAAGTAATACTGATCATAGTGGCTCTAGGCAGTATATAGGTCGACCCTCCCCTTCAGCTGCCGCTACACTTTGTTCATACTATACTTATACAAGGACAATCATACAGGATCTTTACTAATCAACCAGGGTGAACTATATCGATATCTCGCCCCAACCTGGACAACGAGATATAGGTCAAGTCGTGACCTAGATTGTCACTGATGCTGTAGCGGATGTTCGGCAGCTTCTCTGTAGCAATATTTCTTTTGCCACACCTACCAACCCGGTGAGTTTACTATCATAACATGCCAGGACGCAACAGTATTTAAAATTGAATATTTATCTGGTAAAACTAGAAATACTAAAACCCATCCAGAAAAAAATTATCTCATATTTTCCTGATTCCTAATAAGACCTGTTAGGTGACTGATACGTAGGCCTACCTGCACAAACAAGCACCTGACGCAACAAGCTCTTCAAACTTGCTGTATAAAGAGAGATAGTTAACTTATTTTTATTCACAGGATAAATCTAATTATATATGCATGATATAAACACTTTTGAAAAGTAAAAAACGATTTTATATCAGTAAATCGGGCACCTGAAGGCCCTCCCCTCATGCTGGATATTTATTATCCAATCAGTAACATGCATGGCAGACACAGAACAGAATATTTAGAGATAAACAACAAAATGCCATTAAAACGGTCGCTCACTTTGCGTATGTCTAATCACCGTTTCTGAGATTGGGAGCACAATAAAAGTGGACACCAGAGTAAATCAATAGATAACACATGTTAATTGAAATGAACGTTTGGTTTCAGTATTTCGAGAGCTACAAGTTTTTATAACAGCAGTCTTATCGAAGGTCATTTTACAACTTTTTGCCACATAAAATGGCAAAGTACGTCCGTCCCNTATTTATTATTGCTATGTTGTAAACTATGTATATTTTAACTACTTAAATTAGCAGCATTTTTCCTTTTATGCAGTGACAAAATAAAGACATTGAAAATGCTATTTGTCTCAACTTTTATTTAATGTTAAATCAAGATATAATCAATGCTAAATCAACATATAATCAACGTTAATTGAGATTTCTAATGTTGAAACAACGTTGAATTGCCAACATTGATTCAACGTTGAATTGCCAACGTTGATTCAACGTTGACTTTTCAACGTTGATTCAACGTTGACTTCTCAACGTTGATTCAACGTTGACTTTTCAACGTTGACACAAACTTCCGTTTTCAAACATAAATTCAACGTTGATTCAACGTTGAGACTCAACGTTGAATCAACGTTGTGTGCCTGCTGGGTTACTTCAGTTCGAGCCCAATATCGCGTTGCTGTGGTAACCAGGTGAAACTCAACGCGTGCTGACAGTCACAGGTCAGTCTTAGCTGCGCCACCTAGTGGTACCAGACGATACTAAGACTGCAGTTACAATAACATTTAGAGCTCGAACAAAAATAGGATTAATTTATAAACCCGTTAGTGATTTGCTTAAATTGTTTAAAAATGCATAAAGGGCACGGTTTGTAAATGAAAGTAAGGGGAAAACTTAATTATCCACAGCAGAATTATGGTGACAATGTAGACGTTACGTTGGCTAGAGTCAATTACTTATTATTTTTACGTTCTTTAGTAATAAAAATACCTTATGGACCTAAGTCAGAGACAGCCCACGTACAGAGGGGAGGAGGTTGCGCCAAATTCTTCAGTGTACCTTCATTTATTTTCTTTCATTCCCCAATAAGCTTCCCCGCTGTAACCCGAGCAGACGACAGCAACAATGGAGCCCCCTCATGAGTTTTTATCAATAAAAACTGAGCATTGAAATAGATTTCAGCCTTTTTAGTCCTTTGAAAAATTCACCGCCGCCCTGACTGTATAAAACGAGGGTTTAATCATATCGCTCGCATTTTGTCCCTTTTCACAAAACATTTCATTAAGGGCCACTTAAGAAGGTATCAAACAATGGATATGGGAGAGGGGGAGATAAGTGGAGATTACATTGGGAGAAATCAGGGGTGAAACTACACCACTGCCTGCGACTCTCGGCTCCGAGGGTCGCGTTCACTCCCTCCACGATTGATGTTGTTCAGTTTTTCCCAGAGTTAAGATGAATTTCATGGGCTTCATTGATTTCAGCACGATGTCAATAATTCAAACGTCTGTTAATTGCAATCCCCCTTTGTCTGTTGCCAGTTTGTAATGCTACGGGTTCTTATATACCTTCATGTAGAGTTCTGTCTACATTCCCCTGTTCAGATCGTATTAGAGTCTCCGTCAAGTTCTGCTGTAATAAATTATGTACATATTTTAACAAACCGTGATCAAACTATCAGCCTTGACTTATGTTAATTGACCTTGGGGACGGGGTCCGTTATGCTGACGCTGGATCAAGTCCGGATCCCTAGGAGTGCTAATACTACGCATTAAGCTCTACTCGTATGGTACGGATTTCTGATCTCGGATACTGAAGGTTAAATCTAATATCATGTAACATTAGATCAGTGTTTTTTGGTGATTCTCGTGATAGCAAACAAAACTGTATTGAATCGGACTACTATACAAGCCAGGTAGATCTAGGAAATGTTTAAAAAAGTAATCAGATGGCTAAAACACATTCGATCTGTCTGTTCAGAGACATTGAGGGCCACTAAAGAAGATATTGAACAATAGATATGAGATAGTGTTTTCTGAGGACAACTGAAGTTCATAGAAATCACTAAAAGTTGGTCGCCAGATACAGCCACTGATTCACCAACCACAGACAGTACCTATATCGAACTCGTTTGTGAACCGTGTGAACGCGCCTTTCATATAGTAAGCTGCATCATTCCCCATTTAACGTATGGCTAATCCCATGCATTTAATTTCATGAAGACTGAACGGGATCTTTTGAGCGTTCTTTGTGACAATTTTACAAATTACTTTGCTCATTACTGTTCCATCAACTTTGACAAAATAAGAAAATAAAAAATAAAAGGAGAAGCCTGAACAATCCGAACAATCAAAGTTTCTTTTTTGTCATCCTCGTGGCTTGAATGCCGGGTTTGATGGAATCACGTGACCTTGATGACCAATGACTGCACACCTAAGAGATCAAAGGCGCCGCCCGATGCGACATGCTCGTGAAATTCTGATCCCTTGACGATTAACTGCATTATCACACAGGGTTGAATTCCCGCTGTGGAGGGAATTTGAACCCGCGGTGAAAAGACGAAGGCCGGAGTTGGGACCCTGGCCTCATAAAAAGCTGATCGGGGATTTATTGTACTGCTGTAACTCACAGGTGTGCGAGCCAATCAAATAGGTGGCGATTTCTTTTTTTTTTCGATCATTGCATCTCGAGGGCGAGGAGGGCCGTTTTCCCCTCTTTCCATCTCTGGACTCGGCAGCGACGTATGCTGTGAAGGTTGACTCTCGCGTTTTAACAAATGACAGGTTAACTTTCATAATTTTTTCTTCTCAACTTCTTTGAACCTGCCAAACAGACGTTCTGAGAGAGGGTGAGGATCTTCCCGATCCCCTGCCTTTTTCGCCTCAGTGTACGGATACGACTTAGGAAGTCACACGTAATTATAAAGACAAACCTTGACCACGGCAGACGCGAAATGTTGAGTCCTATCTTTCCGCTGGGAATCTCCCCGTTTATTCCAGGATTCCCAATAGAAGGTAAGCCCGAGCGCTTCTTTCATTTTCTTCTATTTTGATTTTTTTATTAATACATTTTATCTCCAATTTTACTATATTTGCTTAAGACATTTGTTTTACTGTTGAACCGGTAAGTAGGTGCCGCAGTTATAATTTTGATCAACTCAGTGATGTTATGCGCTGATTTTTTAAATACTTTACTACTACATGTTATTCTATGAGCTTTTGTTCAACGATGCCAAGTAAACAGAAATGTGTGAATTATTCAAGTAGTGTTGTAGTTTTCCATCTCATTATATCCTCGTGTTGTTGTGCCGTTAATGAGGTGTTCGACCATATGATTGGTAGGCTTGTTTTTTAATGGTACATTTCAAATGCAACACATACAGATTGAAAAAGCAATGATTTAACAGAAACTGTGCGACGGGTAAAAAAACTAAATTATTTCATGCATAAAATTCAATAAAAATTAAAGCCCCATTAGCGTTACAGAAATATTATGGCGCGATATTGGAACGGGCATTTAAATATTGCCTTATCTCTGTATGTATTTTTTTTTTTTTTTTTTTTTTTTGTTATTGTTTCATTGTAGCAGCTTTTAAAATGTATCGATCACAGATTACTTGAATGTCTAAGATAAATATCTTACCGAACGCCTTATATTATGTGGGTAAGAAATCTATTTTATTGCTATCAAATATTTTTAATATCTCATAGACGAAATATTTTTTGTCTTTTTATTTATACAAAAAATCAATTTGATATATAAAAGATAGAAAACTTTACAAACATCTAATACATCTTAAACTCTCTCTTCTTAGAAAGTTGTTAGTGAGTTTATTCCTAAATTAATATTCTGATATTCAGCGCTTTATTTGAGTCACCACGGTACATGCTTAAGGATACATTTTATAACAAGGTGCAAACAGCTGTGAAAGGTTCGTTAAACACATTTATTTACTTGTGTAGTTTTCAGTAATTTATTTATTTATTCATTTAACAATCTTATTCATAATTTGATTATCTACTTCAATTCTACACAGTGGATAAACTTTGCTTAAATAATAAAAATGGGTAATCGCTCATTTACTAACTTTCACAAAAAAGTACCTTTTTCAGTTGAATAATCAATAGGTTTAGACCAAAAAACGGAGATAACGTACTGTTTAAAATATATGAATTAAGTGTTATTGTACAGGGAATGCGGGTCTCTTTTTTCTTTCTTTTCTTTTTTTTTTCTTCTTTTTTTCATGATAACAATGACCTAGGAGAGCAAAACTTAACGTAACGCGGGAAGCCTTTTTTAACGGACGAAATCGGTTGAAATTTTCCTAAAAATGCACTGTTTCATGTACATAAATTAATATGAATTATATATCTTGGAACTGTAGCGTTCAATTAAAAATTACAGGGAAATATCTTACGTTACAATTTTCATAGTTCGAAATAAGGCGAAGACAGCTTAGGCTAGCGACTTAACACTAAATATAAACGTCAAACATTTCACAAGAGAGTTAAGGTTTTATTGTAAGGTAGACATTTTCTTTGGAGGAGGGTGTCGATATGCACCTTTCTTCATAATCAGACCAAGCCAGAAATGACATCATCTATTTCACAGCCACTAAACTTTAAATTCTAAAATAAGGATAAAAACGAGGACAAAAAAGTGAGAATTCCCGCTATGTGTCTGCTAAGAGAGTGCGGTGTGTGATACGACGTCGTGTTGAGGGAATTGGTATTATTAGGCGTGTAATTATAGGCGTGTGAATGTCACGGGATTAATGATACGTTTAATTTCAAAGCCGGGGTTAATCGAAGTGTACACCTGTAATGTGAACTGGTTAGAGGAGATCTCTACTGAATGCGACAGCTCTGTAAACTGTTTCAGCTTTTGGCACTTCTTCTAATTTGTTTATATCGGTTTAATAGGACTTTGGCATAGTTTGTATCAGGAATCTGGCTGTTTTCTTTGCCAGTGTAAATAGATAGCGCGCGGGGTCAAACAACGTGGTGGAAGTACAGAGAGCTTATGTGGTAGCATACTTCACCACTTAGTTTATATATAATTAACTGGGAAATTTGTTTGTGATCCTTGGGCTTGATTTTGCCAATGTTCAATTCTCAATTTAAGTCCCAGTTCGGTTGTTTATGTCATGTAAGTATGAGATACAGCTTGTATCAAATTATGATTTTTTTTCTCCAAGAGCACGTAATTGAAATCGTGCACAAGGTGGTTTATATGTTGATATCTGTTTGCTGGATAGCAGAGAAAGAGACAGCGTGTATAGAAACGGGACTCATTTCCTTACAAGTGCACGCTCTGTAAAGAGCACACTGGTGCTTATCCCCCCGAAGATAGGAACCCAACCCGGTGCAAAATAAATTAAAATTGAAGGGCACGATTCCCTCTGCGGACCTCCTCGCGGCGGCTTTTTTGATGTGGAAGCTGACAACAATGGCGGGTGAAATCAGCGACGTAACTTATCCATTTTGCCATAATTGCAATTTTCATGCCTCGAATCAATTTGAGTGAGCGGAGGAGAGCACAGCTGTATAGAGTGCGGATATTCTACACCCGTGCCACTTCTGTTTCGTTTAATTCGACGAGTTTAAATTTCAGGGCCTTCGTAATGCATTACATGCTACATGCTGAACGTTTCGCTTACCGTGATCCCTGTTTTCGGCGTGAAATTGGAATTTTTATAGTGTCTTCCCATGGGTTATCAGACAAGCCTTAATTTTCGGTTTCTCTGTCATGTTTTGCATACAATAGGTTATGCTTTACCACGTCGCAATCAACAGTTAGCACATTTTCTCCATGTATAAGATCATCCACCTTTTTTTTAATCAAAATTGAATCCTTTTCTATTTTTGATCTTGGGGAGTGAAAAGTAGCGATCTTGTGGGATAAAGAATTTAAAACTACCATATCAGTACACCTGTTATTTCGTTTTGTTCAATTTTGGTTAGGATCGAAGACCTGAAATTCCATGTTTATTTCATACAATGTATTTATCTGAGTGTTTAGTTATCTACTTAATTACCGTTTCTGCTTCAATTTGTTGTCCCTGATTTATCACACGATTGCTTTTACACAGGAACTATCTTAAACTACAGAAATCGACCGAAATTGCATCAAGAGTAGCCCAGATCAACATGGCTTCCTACCTCGTCACCTAAAGCTCCGTTTCAGCGCTGTTAGAAAGTATGCGTCGCCGCGAGCGATGTTTTCACCTTTAACTGTCCTCTCTCCCTAACCCTGATGTTGTCTGTGAAAATTGTCACCGTTCGCTGTACTTTTCTTGTTTTTGACCATCGAATTAGATTGCTCTGGTTAAAAGAGCAGAGCGTGTTCGTTACTGACGAGCAACAAACTTGTTTAAAAGTGGCTTTGGAATTTTGATTTCAATTCTTGGTGTCATGGCAAAAGGAATAAATATATATCCACATAACATGAAATCACTTCTTCTGCGATTATTTTCTTTTTCTGCCTACTCATCAATGTGCTGAAAGGCAAACAAGAGCATGGAAATTTCAGTGTCACAGTGTTAATTTTAATTAGGCAAACGATGAGGAAATTCTGAAAATCCTCTTCTGCCAGTGTAGCATTTAGTTGTTTTGAAAGTGTCTGCTTGAGAAAATGCTTCACAAAGAGATGGCTTTTTATTACTTTGCTCACATTTGTTTATGTGAAAAAAACGCAAAGAAAAGACAATGGAAATTAAATACAAGAGGATTAAAAGCACGCTGTATCACAATTTCAATTTTAAATATTAAGGTATTTAATACTTAATATCTTTTTTAATTATATAGACGCGTCATCAAAATGAAGGTAAGTTCTTCGATGGCTTTATTCGATGGCAGGAATAAAAAGAGATGATGTAGGAAAAACGTCACCAATATTGTGAAATCAGACCGTGTAACAGCAGTGGAGGACACCCGTTCTAAAAACCTGCACAATGAGCTCGCGAACCTGACATGTGTGCTGTTGCAGTTTATTTGTATGAAGTTGCAGTGTAAGAAGGCCGGAAGATTAATATTAATTGATAATCAAGTGGAAAAATAAAAATAGCTTGCAAACAAGAAAATAAGATTTAAAAAATAGATATATAATTGGTCGAGAATACAAAATAAAATCCGATGACATTCAATAGTTTTATCATATTCATTTCATGGCGACTAAATAAAAAAAAATGAGAATAACTCTAAAAATCTTGACCTTTTACATTTACTTAAGAAAGTTTTTCTTTTGTTACAATCAAATGATAATCAAATGAATCTGAACACATAAAAGAAATATATTACAATAAATTGCCAAAGTGGATAATGAGGAAAAAGTAAACCAGTGAAGGCTTAATAACGTTGGGTGCAAGGCGGGAAACTAGCATACAGAAAAACGGCATGGCACAGGTGAGCCTACAGTACGTTAATGGTGAGTCTAACCTTGTAAACAAGTAATACTGTAACTGTTAACAAAAACTGTGGGGCGAACTTTCTTGATTCTGCTCCTTAGTTGTGAATACAGCAAGTAGAAAGGCGATATCTAACCAGAAACTTTAACCACTAACAGTCAAGCATTACCGACATATGACAATTATTTATTTCTCAAATTAAGAAAACCCGTAGAACATAAATCAGAAGTTATTTTCACAGCCTGAATAACACAACATGAAGCTAAATTGAATAAAAATATATTTTCTTGGATCAATCCAAATTCATTTATTTTCAAGATCAAACCGCTGCTCCAAGCCCGTATCTAAAACTGAGACAAAACTTACCCAAGTAAGGCCCCGCGGGGGGTCTGATCTCACAGATGTTCGTTTATTGTCATAACATCGTATTACAAGCAGAGTTGAGCGAATCACCTGCGAAGCAAAGCTTGATAATTGAATTTAAAAGACGATTTATCATGTATATAGCCTGGCCGTTACACAGTTAAAGAAGGAACGACAGCGTCTAATGAAGGGATCCGATTACTCCTTTGGTTCGTGTGTTCTTAAAGGGTCTTCCGCTCGGTGAAGGCACATTTATTAACGGTGTTATAATGGTGAGATTTGATTTTGATACCGTTATTAAATAGAGCTCGTTTTATTGCTGCCCGAACCTTAAAGTGGTAGTTGATTTACAACGCTGGCGCAGGATGATTGTTCTTTTTCGATGGAACCTTAAGTAGCGCAGCTGCAGATGGGGTGATGCGTGTGTTTTTAGAGGCGGCGTCCACACCAGTGAGCTAAGGGGCCGCATGAATCCAAGGAAACATATTTTCAAAAATTTAAAGAACAAAATTATTATTAAAGAGGAAATGAATCGATACTCTAAGATATTGTCAGAAATTCACTTATCAGTCACTGGTGACTGCGTTGAGAACACACTAAAAATGACAATAAAAAGAGAATATAAATGGAAAGAGACTTTTTGACAAAAATAAATCGTCACCGAAATATTTTAAACGAGCCAAATATTTTCATTGGTTTTAAATATATGCGGTTTGAATTAAGCATTTGTATGGAAAATTCATTTAAAACAAAGATACAGTAATTCAATATTATTCTTACTGGTATGCCTATATACCATTCAAATCATTGGATGCATTTCTGAAAAAAAATATGTAACATAGTTACTTTTCCAAGTGGAATAAAGTTACTAGCCGTTAGTTTATCGATATACAAAATAAAAATAAATCTGTTCGTCAATGAATTCAAAATAAATTTGATGAAGAATAGTCTCAACTGTTCGGTAATTTTCATGTAAGATTTTTGTACCTCAGAACTCCACAGTTATTTCAATGCAAGATTTAAAAGTTTAGATTTTTTTTAATGAAACAATTGTGAACTGCATAAGCCCTGTATATTGTTGAGACGGGTTGTAAATACTAAACTCTATTATATATTCTCATTTATTTAATCATTTTAACATGTCCATCTGTACAGCCGATTTAATAAACCTCATGTGAGTATCTGCAACACATTCATAAAATATCTTTGAACAATAAGTCTTTATGTCCCCCAAATGCGCGGAAAGCATATAGAAATAAATATAAAAATACATATGGCGGTTGTGTTAAAATAAATTCTATGGAATATCCATATGAAGCAAATTAAATTGTCCTGATTTTTTTTTTTTTTTTTTTTTTTTTTTTTTTTAGACTCTGATTCGTAATTTGCTGTATTGAAGTTTCTGTCGGACTGTTGTGTTGCATGAAATTGTCATTGGCGTACCGCCGTTCTTTTTTAAGAACGTGTATATGGTTTTGACTGTGTAGTTCTTGAGACGGGTGTGTTGCGTGTTACAGTATATTGTCTTTGACTGTAAACATTTACCGTCCTCAGGATGGAAGGAACAACGATTCAAAATATACATTTTGTGTAAGTAAATATACATCTGTTATTCTACATGTGAAGTTTCATCCACAGTGTTATTTCGTCTTGTCAAGAAGTTTTGAGTTCAGAGCGTTTGATAAGATAGATATGTCACTGGACTAAATATGGTACTTCCCCATCAACCAAAGGCTAACTTTATGAGCAGTAAAAATGTTATGTTATGAGTCTGAAAAATATCTCCAGAATGCGGCAAAAAAGATTGATATTCCCTTATCTGCTATCACTTGAAATATTTTGTATTCCCGGAGCCACATATATAAACGTGTACGTTTTCGATTTATGTTTGCCTTGAACTTAATTTTATTGACTTTCGCAGGTGTAACAAAAATATATCAGAAAATTCCGCACTAATGTAAAATATAATTCTTATGTTAAACATAACGAAAAGAGACTTCAAATATAAATTATGGATTTCGAAGAATATTGACTTTTTTTTTTTTGAAACATGGAGCTTGTCGTATATCTTATTCATTGGAATTTAGTCTCTTAGAAGGTAGTTACAGGATTTTCTTCAAAAATTCTCTTCTCAGTAATAAATATTTTGAATACCAAACTCAATATCCAAGCACAGAAAACACCGCGTCAAACGGGTCATTGAAAGTTTATTCATTCTTATGGTTTGTTGAAAACTGCTTCAACTGAAAAAATATATACATGATATAGCAACTTTTCCGGCGGCGACTCATGTAGGACCCCAGTCGTAAATTGTGCCTTCCGGTTCAAATATTTCTACATATACATATATTTATTTTTAATCATATAAAAAGTACGTGGTATGTACAAGCATTTTTTTAACTTCGCCAAAACATCAGTGTGACAGTCAAACTGGCGTCTAAATAGCAAGGTTTCAAGACTCGTTCGATAGAGGCACCAGAGATAAATGTTGAGGCAGCTCATGTGAAATCCTAAATATTTTTGATAAAACCATTACTTATTTTAACCAATTAAACATCGACTGTGAGGTTATTTTTTATACTTAATAAAAAATTTAAAAATAGACAGCACAAAAGCCAGAGTGTGTAATGAGTCAGAATTGGATGGTTTTGAATCTATCTGGTCGAGTAATAATTTTCATATAGAGTTCATTAAGAGCATGTCCATGGAGGCGGGGATACAGAATTTTTCAGTTGGTAGGGTTGGATTCGAATATTTCTGGATTTCCACACTAAAAAAATACAAAGTGCCGTTTATAAAAGAACGTGAAGTTTGTGGGACATCAGTGAGCATTAAAGTTATTTGTATATGATCTCAGAGTTTACCAAAATGGAGAAAACGCGGGAAGCGCCAAATACCCGCAAGAAACGAGTTAACGAGTTATGATTTTCTCTAGTTAAGAGACCATGGAGTAATTTTGCCCTCGATTATTATGTTCTAGGTCAAGGGCGCGTGAACCAGCTAGGAGGGGTATTTATCAACGGCCGCCCTCTTCCCAACCATATTCGTCTGAAGATCGTGGAGCTGGCCTCTCAAGGCGTCCGGCCGTGTGTCATCAGCAGACAGTTGAGAGTGTCACATGGATGCGTCAGCAAGATATTACAGAGGTAAGCAATGCACAGTCTTGCTGTAGACATATATCAGAGAACAGAAATAGCAATGAACCGATGTTGATACACAGCAGAGTAGTCCTTGCGCTCACGTCTTAAGCATGACGTCACACTCTCATAAATTCGGTCATTTCGCAGCAGAAAACCTGGCTGCTTACGTATCGCTTATAGTTTGATAAAACATCAGCAAAACCGTAGATGTAACTGTCACACTTCTGATTCTTTCTGCAAAGAAGGCACATTTAAAGTTAATAACGTAAGTATGACGTCACATTTAATGGATGACGTCATATCTACCTACCCAGGATGCACTGAAATGAACAGAGTGTTTTCTCGTTTGCTCACTGAGCAAGCTGCGAACGAAATTAATATAGTAGTTTGAAAAATCTTTTTTTTTTCTTTTTGTTTGAAAATGATACACTCAAGGTGTCATTTATCATACAGCATTTACTCCAGAGTTGCAGACACGACAGTGCTGAAAATGTGTAGTTCTATTGACTAATTTGTTATTACCAATAGAACAGTAACCGTAAACAATAGGAGTTTAACCTAAATTATACATAAAATGCTTGTAGTCTTTGACCACTAAGTCTGAATTCCCCAACGTTGCTCCTAGGTACCAAGAAACCGGCAGTATCCGGCCCGGGATGATCGGTGGCTCTAAGCCGAGAGTGGCGACACCTGAGGTTGAGTCCAGGATTGAGCAGTACAAGAGGGAGAACCCAGGAATCTTCAGCTGGGAGATACGGGACAGGTGGGGCATATGAGGGGGAAATAAAAATTAATATAAACCAATATAATATTTTGGTCAGTGTCTTCTAGTATAGTATTTGCAGACGCTGAAATCTGTGCATAGCCTACATGAAATTACTTTCGCCGAACTATCCTCTCAAGTTTACAGATTCATCCATACATATGGAGATGTGAAAACGGGAGACGGTTGGAAACCGCCCCCAAGCCCAATTATCTCCTCTCAAAAAAAAAAAGAAAGAAAAGAAAAAAGAAAAAAAAATTGTAAAGTTTGAGCATCCGACATTGAAAGTTTTTTTTTTTTTTTTTTTTTTTTTTTTTTTTTAGTGAAATTGTTTGAAATAGGTCTGGCCGTGCTGCTGTCCACAGTCAGCCATACCCATGTGAATTAAGTGCTTTTCTTAAAATCAACAGCTAAATATTGAAATTTTTTGCCTCCAATATTTCGATGTCTACCAGAGCATCTTCATCAGAGAATAGCAAGGTAAATAGCCTCAATTTAGGAGCAATACTTGCATTCTGTGACAACCACACCCATGCACTAAGATATGGTTTAATTCCAGTAGACTCCTCAGGGAAGGGATCTGCGATAGAAACACGGCGCCAAGCGTCAGCTCCATAAGTCGCGTGCTGCGCGCGCAGCGTAAAGGTGATGATGAGGAAGATGATGATGATGTTGGTGACGAGGGTGACAATGTAAGAGATGACGAAAGAGTTGATGATACAGACACAGTTGCAGAGGGGAAGGAAAGTGGAGGTGATTTGATATATCTATACAATGACAGAGAGCATGTGGGTTTGTTGTCAAATTTAAATAAATTAGCCACCGCAACCGGAATCGGTTTTCATCAGTTTTATTTAGCAGCAGGTGATGATCACGGTTGAGATACAAAGACGTTTATTTTCATTTATCTTTTTTTTTCACTTGACTTGGGTTTCTCACTGCTGTTTTATTGTAAGGCAAACTAACAGCTGCTAATATTGAGAATGTAAGTAGGTTTATTTCTTCTCGATAATTCATGTAAGTTTTGGTCTATCGCCCCTTTAAATTCGGCTGAACGCCCTTATAGTCATTCGGCAAGTTCTTCTAGATTATACATGTAAGCTGCACTTGTTTATTTTTTACACTAGTTGCTCATAAGGACAGATAGACAGCAAGTTTTTCGACTAAAATATAATCAAAAGTAGTAAAGATTTTACACTCAACCTTCTCCGCTCTTTCGGCTTCATTGCCTACATCAACATGTACAATTAAACGGGTCATTTTCCTGTTGGTCTTTCAGAATCTTTGAAGAATATTGCACAAATTTGAAGTCCTAATTTAATACCCGTAGTTAAACGACTAAACTTGCAGATATTTCTAAAAAATAAACTTGCCCAATTATATTGGTATAGATACATTTACAGTATATGAGAACTTGCGTTACTTTTTAGCCCCTGAGTCCCACACGGTTTACTTCTAAAATTGGACAAAAACAGGGGCCCTTCGGATTTGCACGGTGTGACAACCGGATTGGTTTCCCGATAAAAAAACCTTCAATTAGAACCCCTTCAGTGATGAGTAATACAACAGGCAGACGATCACAAGAAACGCTCTCCTCCGCCATTGTTCACACCGGCTTAATAAGCCACAACGTCTGCACAACAAAACAAGGATTGAAGAAAAGATTCCTTAAAAGTCAGTGGGTCTCATCGAAACTTTTTCGTCACAATTTTTCACGTGAGGTTTGGCAAACAAAATTCGCGGTAAGAGCAGAGATAAAACCAGGGAAAAGATCAAAGGAAATTTGATATCTGGCCGTATAATATAGCTATTGGAGTTTAATGTACGGTTAAAATGCAAACGCTACAGCCACTTTTACCTCCTAGTCAGCAAAAAGGGGGATGTTCTTTCAGTGGGTATAATTGAATCTCAGCACGCTTCAGCGCGTTCGAATGACGATCTAAGACCAGAAAGATTCATTAATTTATTGCCCTTTTGATAAAAAAGCGACTCGTGTAAAATTCATGTGACGGTGATGTGAGACCCCGGATTTCCTGATCAAGAGCCAATCTCACCATTTTGAAATTTACCGCTTTGTTCTAGGAGCAGACGATTTATGCGTTGGCTTTGAAACGCTGAAAAATTGGAAGGTCATTATGGAAATTCTGATTACAAAGTTATGTTACGTTGTAATATTAGACGTAATGTTAGGGACGCTGTAAAAATTAGGAAAATTCAAGAACAAATTATGGAAATTCCGTCGACGATAATGTTCCTCGAGCCCTGCTGGCTCCGCGGCAAGGGCCTGATACATATCTCAGGGGTGAAATTTTATTCGTTTCGTTATAAATGATTAAATTACGTTGCACATTATACGGGAAGATTTGTAAAAGAGAACGGCCCAGCGACACTGGTAGTTGTAACGCCGGTTTACATCTTAGCATAAAATGCGTTAAAATATTTCCCATTCCCCCTTAGAGTCTTCTTGAAATGACAAACTATGAATAAGCTACATGACAGGGATCTTTCGCGATGGGTAAAATAAATCTTTAAATTTATAAAAGAAATAAAAAACTATGGAGAGATTATGGGAACCGTGGTCTGTAAACAAATGTTGAATTATAGCCAGCAGAAGGCATGGTTATTTTTTGACACGATTTCAAAGAAATAAGTTTTTATAAAACATTCAAAATTTTCAAATGTTATTTAGTAAATGCCACATGTATAGGACACAGTGTCCTAGAGCTAAACCCACACATATTTCCTCCCTTTAGAAATAAATGCAGCTTATTCGGCATAATAAACTTTAGTCATCAAACGGCAGTAAAACAGGCCTATTCGATACGAACTTTATTCCCCCTTCAACATCAGATCTTCTCTCAAAGGTTTTCTCATCATCGTATTGTGCCAGGCACACCTGGTCGTCAGCGCGTGTTGCCCCGTCTGAGACGCGGAGAAGGGCTTTAATCCACTCAACAAACGTGCATTTAATGAGAATAATTGTTTTATTAAATGATCTCCCGAATAAAAATGCCAAAATTTAAGTAGGTTTTTTTGGAATCATAAGCATATATCTTACAACATAAATCAGATTTTTTCATTTCTGATCTCAATAGTCTAACCGCCTTTATTTAACACTCTTTTCCTCCGTTTCTCCCCAAAGAAAAAAGGACCCCGCGCGACGTGAGTAACATATCGCGTCAAATTTAAATTCAATTAATATGGCAAATTATACAGTTTAATTTAATAACAGTCGTTAGGGTGAAGAAAAGGCGGCCGGGTCTCACACGAACGCGGCTGACGCTCTCGACCTCCCTATTGTGTCGATCTGACTCCTGCATTCATGCGGAATAAAAGGGAGTTCATGCCAGAAGCCTTTTAAAACAGTCACCGATCTCAGTGGCTGGGGGCTGCCCACGGGAAAATTTTCGTAGATTTTTCAGTTCTAGACTTTTTAAAAAAAATACCGTATATGTATCGTTAATGCAAAAATATGATGGATCTTTTTTTAAATAGTATGTTTAATAGTTGATGAGAAAGGAATGTGTCACATCATTTTTTCATTAAGTCATTCATCAATTTGTTCGTGTAAAATTTTGCTAGTTTCATTTTTGAGCTTGTCACTTTTGTTTGTTAACATTTGGAATCCACGCAGTGAATACGTACATGGTAATGATTTATTAGCGGGTTAGGACGGCAAGGCATGGTTATTTGTGAAATTTCTGATATCAGCCATTCTTGCAAGGAGCTAGAGTTCCGAGGACGCCATAAATCTTCTTTAATGTGGGTAATTTTTTTCCGGTTTTATAAGTAAAACCCTGAAATTGATACAACGCGCCGCCTACACCCCCTTTGTGAGCCTCGCACCGAGTTAAAACGTTAGCTGTGTCATTCTGTTTGATGTTTGATCGTCTTTCTTCCTCATTTTAATATAAATGCTTATCTAAAACCTGCGTTCAAGTACTTCAAAATAACACGGAGAGAAAAAGCACTCACTGCCTGCACGTCCTTCAGTTGAAAACAAGACTGAGGTATCTGCCTACAGGGAAGATCGTGTGTATTCTTCCCTCTGTTGATTGCTGCATATATATTGATGTTTATCTCAGTCTTAGTTCATTGATGTGGTCTTTGCAACGGACACTTGGATCTGATACTGTGGCAAGCATCAGACCAGGTTTTCACGAACCAAAATTAGAAATGCAGTCTTTCATTGCCACAGAATCATTTTGGGATAATGCGAAGAGGATGCAGAAATCATTGCGGTCTCTAATTACACTAAATAGTAAAGGTTTATTTTTCTTCATTCCAACGTAAATCTGTCAAGCTGAAAACGTGATGATATGCACCATGTCTTGCGCATGCATCTCTGAGGTTATACAGTTTCATGGCCAGCACCTCTTCACCCGGCTGAGATTGCTTTAGCGAAGATTTGCTAACACATTTCTGTTTGATCTCAACAACAGCAATCTACGCGCCCACACGCTTCCCTGCTACGATTGAAGATTTCGAATAGGTTAGGGCAAAGGGAAATGAATTTTAAAATATATATATATTTGCAAGCATTACACTGGAGGGGTATGGAAGTCACTCGTGTTTACATAAGCAATAACATCCACCTCAGGCATAGAAACACGATGTCTTTTGCTTTCCAACATCAATACTTCGGTACTACTAATATGCTGTGCATTTGTTTGTTATGCATAGTTATTGTTTATTTTCAAGTGTACACGTTAAACGTTACTAGCAATTCCAATTTCTTATAGCTCCATACATAGTTTTACTTTTAAAAAAGCAGCGCAAGCAATGTAGTCGTAGTATGTTAAAAAAACGGAGAGATCCGTCAATCATTTTTCTATATGATTTGATAACAATTTTCATACGGAGTAACTTCTCTCCTCAGATTCTGACTGCGACTCGGAGCCCGGTATCCAACTGAAGCGCAAGCAGAGACGCAGCAGGACCACGTTTACCGGTGAACAGCTGGAGATCCTGGAGAAAGCGTTCGAGCGCACGCACTATCCGGATATCTACACCCGAGAGGAGCTGGCACAGAGAGCCCGGCTAACAGAGGCCAGGGTACAGGTGATTGTCACATCGCCCCTGAATTGTTGTAGAAATTGTGCTCGGAAATTACTGTAGAATAAATGTTAAAAATTAATCGATAACACTTTCAAAACGGTCACACGTACGAGTTTGGTCTTATGGATACACCGTACTACAGTATGTTTTGAGGGCTGACGGTGGATATCTGATGATGACAGCTTCTACATTGCTCTTTATCTTCATTTTTCAGGTCTGGTTCAGCAACAGACGCGCAAGATGGCGGAAACAGATCGGAGCTACTCAGCTGGCGGCGTACAGCGGGATTTACCCTTTGACCCCCATGGCGGCACCGTACATCCTACACGACCCGGCTGGGCTGCACCTGACACATGGGGCGGGGCATCTGACAGGTAGGTTGAGCTGTTGGCGTATAAGGTGGGGACTCTGACACATGGGATGGGGCATCTGACAGGTGGGTGGAGCATCTGAAATTTGGGCAAGGCATCTGACAGATGGGTGGAGCATGTGACACTTGGGGCGGATCATCTGACAGGTGGGTGGGCTGAAACATGGGGTGGGGCATCTGACAGGTGGGTGGAGCAAATGACACAAGGACGGGACTCTGGCAGGTGGGTGAAGCAGCTGACACTTGGGGCGGGTCATGTGACAGGTAGGTAGAGCACTATATGTATGAGGCGGGGCATCTGACATATGGGGCGGGGCATCTGACAGGTGGGTGTATAATTCGACACATGGGGTGGGGCATCTGGCAAGTAAATGGGGTGTATAAATTTTTGTCAGGCACCAGAAACGCTGGATTTTCCGTTCTGTACATGCAGGTATATGATACGCTAAATATGAAATCTTTCCTTCAAGACGTTTATATGTGAGATCAACACATTGAGCTCACTTATTCAAACACTACATGTATACTGTCTTGGTCTGTATTTCAGACCGACCGTTCTGGGGACACACAGTCTCCACTACTGGTGCCGCCTCATTGCCCCAACGGATCAAGACGGACGTCATTCATCCGGGGCTTTTGCCACAGGTTAATAACAGAAAATTCTAACTAAGTTCATGTTTGTTTTATGTTTAAATAGCGAAACGTCACTTCGTGTACTGTAGCCCAATGCTGTTCATCAGTGTTTTTAAACATTTAAAAACGGCATTACCACTGACTTATTGTACTGTTTTTTTTTCACCATATGTCACTATAGTGTTCACCAGAAGTTTTTTTTATTGCAGACATCAGTGTCCATACAGCACATCTCGACTGCGCATGCCCAGCCCGTGACAACATGGGCATTACTTCCGACCAATCACAGTTTTCTACTCCCACACCAAGTTACTGCGCAGGTCCCACCGGAAGCAAAGCCGCCATTAAGTTTAGCAGGTACTTTATATAAATGATGTGGTTTTTGTGTGATTTGCCTTAAGAACTAATGGGCTCCTAGGTAGATCATACGCGCGGCGAAAGTTGCATACAAATAAAGATGATAAGTTTTAAAATGAAAACCATTTTACACGTACATATGTACTAAGATACATCTATAAAGTACGAAGCATGGTGAGGGAAATACATTTAAATGAAACTGTATATACTGTATGATTTTCATTAAGTGCCATCCACTTCACCTGGGATTAGAGCGTCAGCTGACGAGAGTCTCGCAAAGCTTCGTATGAGGTCAAGGGAACATGCCGCCGCCATTGTATCTCTGCATACATGTACATCGGAAAAGAAAACGGAAATCGAAAACATTTCACCTTGACGATCACCCAAGTAAAGGAAAAAGTTTGACTAAGAACAATTTTCTCCTTAGGGGAATATATTGCTGAACCGACCGCAAACCATTCACGCTTTTAAAATTAAAAGGTCTGTCAATGGAAAAAAAATCGTGATGTTCTAATGAAAGGAATGACTTTTGATAGCAGTTATGAACACTTATCTATTTATGTATCATACTGACATCAACTGTTGCCCATGCAGTAACGTAATATTATGGTGAATATCACGGTGAACATATAAATATCAAGTAAACGAGATTCATTGACTGAATCTCGCGTGCTACAAGTACATTTACGACATTCCTTGCATCGTGCCAGTCAAAGATGCCGGTAAAATATCCGGTACATAAACGCTTGATTAATTATGTAGATTTGAAGATTCAACATACCGCAATACTCAGCAACAAGATATTTTTTATGTAATGGGATAGAGAAAAATGTATCCAAAGACATGTTAAAGGGCAAAATGCAAAATAAATTCATAAACCCATGACCTTTTTTTTAGCATTCAAAGATTGAGACTGTTGACAAAACTGCCACCTGTGGCCTATGATTTAATAACTTATCTTAACGTTGGTGAAAGACAAAAAGCGAGAAACAAGCGGACACCTCGATTCTCTCTGAAATACAAGTAAGTAGGGTATGACTCTTTACCAGCATTTTATTAACACGGTTAAGAAATACGAAATGACATAAGAAGGGCCATTCGTGTGGAGATGTGCAGACAAAACCAGGAGACCGGGTCAATAGATGGGTATTATGCGACCCACCCGCCCCTCATGCATATGACTGACATGCCGGTAGGGGTAAAATAACTGCTGTTTTTTATTTCTTTTTATCACACACACACACACACACACACACACACACACACATATATATATATAGTGTATATATATAGGCCCCTATAGCCACAGTAACTGCGTTAGCGAGATATTAACGGAAAGGATGGGTCCCTCATACCCCAAAGTACCCATTTAAAGAGTCATGTATACCACGATCGCTTGAATTCCTTGATACATCTAACGTCCTCATCAATATGTTAGGACTGAGTCGCGCTCGACGAACAAAGCCTCTGAAAACGGTTCATGTGCGGTCACGTGGTTACCAGCATCAGGGTGAAACGCCGTCAGTTCCCATGAAAGATCGCAGACATGATAAAATAGCTCATTCACCCAGCATCTGGCTCAGGTATCTTACTTAACTCTTTATATTCTTATATCTCTTTATATTTATATTTTGTTTTTAATATATAGTGTAGTATGTTCTGGAGTAAAGTCTTTTCAGACACTAGAAGACAACTCCTGGCTACGGTAATAGTACGTCTTGGCTCTTTTCCCAACGAGTACTACATTTTCCTGTCAATATAAAAAAACAAGCGATAAGGGGGCTGTGGGTATAGACGGTAGATTACCCAGTGCGTGGCAGTATGAGCTACATGTATACGCATTTTTACCTGCTGCATCAAGCAGTGGTTTCTTTTCTGCGTCGGCATTGCGTTGTGGACCATGACCTCAGGGGGTCTAACGCGAATATCTAAATCTGTTAACGCGGTAGCCAGTTTTTTCATAGAGCAAACGCACGGCGTTCTTCAGTTTCAGGTGCAAGCAATCGTAGGACTGTCTGCATTTCAAAAGGTGCATTTGCTTTCCATATGATTATGAGCCGTATGCATGCAGCTCACACGCGTGCAGCAGTGTCATGGTCGTGGTATGGTTGAGACTACAGAGGGCCATGAACCCCAATGGTAGGTTATCATAGCGCATGGCCAGGCCACTGACGCACATGTTGTGAATGTGTGTTGAAGGTAGAGAGGATAGAAGTAAGTGATATGCATTTGACCGAGAGCTGTGCCATTTACACTAGCACAGATTACTCTCTACCAGCGCCACATATTGAATTTTCAGTAGATATGCATGAATATGACTCAAATTCATTCATGGCACTTTCCTGCAGTCTCGTTGGAGAAAAGTACACGTAAATAATCTACGACTGTGGTACAGGTGAGACTTACTAATTCTGTTCAGTTCTGTTCTTATGTCCCTTGTGAATACGGCCGTGCTCATGGCCCTGCAGTATGCAAGCCAACATCAACCTCGTCTCGATTTATCTGGATGCTGTTTACTTAATGAGGACGCAACTGATAGCATTCTGTAACAGTTGTTCGTGTGACCTGATAATCGTAAACATCAAGGTGAACTCTGGTTACGATCCACTGTTCAAATCACTGACATTTAGCTTTTCCAAACACAAGAGTACAGATGACAGCAGTTAACCTACACCGCTGTGCTGACACTAGATACACTAAAGATTAACCTAACCGGTTTTTATGATACATTCAAGTCTGTATGTAAGCCCATACTATGAATAGATTTCTGCTGTCGTTTTGTCCAGAGAGAATTCCCTTGACAGAAAACGAACCTGTTTGAAGCGTGACGCCTCTTTGCGAAAGGGGTTGGGGGGCGGGGGGGGGGGTTAAAGCGCTTTTAAAATCTATTGAACCTTTATCTCCTGAGTCCAGAGAATGCGTTAAGGGAGAGAGAGAGAGAGAGAGTGTGTGTGTGTGTGTGCAAGAGAGAGATGAAGAGAGGAAGAGATTCATATGTTTTTCCGTTTCCTTTTTCAAGTATCGTCAACAACTACATTGATCTACATTGTATACTTGCAAGCATTCCTTAGCTCGATGGTGAGTTGTCCAAAGGCACGAAAGAAAAAATGACGCAGAAGTCCAACAACAGATCGAGAGGCAACTTAAGCGTCAGCCTTCCAAATTTGATGCTGGGGACCTCACTTGTTTCTCTACCTCGCGAGGAGCAAGCTGAAGAGAACCTCGCAGAACCGTCCCTAAAGAATGAGCTGGCGGGATTGGTTCTGTGTGATCACGTGGACAGTGGATGGTCTTGGGTTGTCATGGTAGCGGGGGCACTGGCGCCTTTCATTGTGAATGGTTATTCTTTTAGCTGCGGTAAGTGCCAAGGGGCATCATAGGTTTTTACATATGTCGTTCGTAGATACGCCTGCCTTTCATAAACGGTCCAAAATAAAAAAAATCAAGGGGAAGCATCACGGATGTGGAGGGTCAGACGTTCTGTGCAGGAGAACAAGTGACGATAAGATACTCAATACCATTCGAACCAAAATAGCGTACAGCAACTGAGAGTTGGTCGGGGGATGGTTAAAGGTAACCCTGGACGGATAATACACTTAATTTCTCATTTCGAAGAGAAAATAGTTATTTTTTTATATTTTTATTCAAGGTCTATGTATAATAGCCCGTATATCTCTGCAAAATTAATAAAACAACAATTCGGCCATGACATTCCCGGGGAAGAGGACTCTGCTGCTACAACATACCGTGTGCGTGTAGTTACGTCCAACTAGTAAGGACCAGAATTTTAATGTTTTACATATTATATCATATGTATGCATTATTTTACCTATCTTCAGAGGGACAAATTCATTCTTTTCCAAAATAGGTGAGGGAGAAGTCATGACGTCACTGGTGGGTTCGGTACTGTTGGGCAACTGCATTGTATCCGGTATGTAACAAAAAGTTTTTTTCTTTACAAGTGACGATTCCGTATTTAATGTATCATCTTCATTAATGTACCGTTGTAGTTAAATACGAGTTTTGTTATTGAGTGGCATTCTAAGGCTAAAATAAACCATATTTACGACATCTAAACTGCATTAATTGTAAAAAAAAAAGGCAATTAATAAGAGAGGATCACGTGTTGGTAGATTGGCACATACATGTTAACTGTTTGGAAACTTGAGAGAATGGCAGGCATCCCAACAAACACAGTTATTACATGTTATTACAACGTTATTTAAACTTCTATATAATCAGGAAAAAAATGTTATGGTCACTATATGGTCACATTATAAAACGTTCTGTTTGCTGAGATGTCGAACATATCTTTCAGGATTTATCGCTTCCATATTATGTGACAAGCTGGGTTGTCGTCAGACATGTGCTCTAGGCGCTGTGTTCACTGCAGCTGGACTTGGCGCAAGCTTCTTTGCCAAAAGCTGTGCGTTCCTCATAGCCTCGTTCGGCATAGTTACAGGTATTCCTTTATCTCATTTACGAACACATATGACCAAATTACATAGCTGCAATGCGTTTTTTTTTTTTTTTTTTTTTTTTTTTTTGCAACATGGTTGTGTCGCAAATTGGCCTTTAGATAAAAGTACTGAATAAAACTGGAAATCCGAATGAATGATTAGTTAATAGCTTGCAAAATGTGTTCGTGACATCTGGTAAAATTCATATGCACATGTATGTACCACAAGAAATTGTTTATAGTTAACAATTCAAATCCGTTTAGCTCTCTATTTCTCTCTCTCTTCTCTGTTGCCTCAAAGATGAAAACTTGCGCCATTCTTATAGTCTTTCGGGCAATTTTGCAAAACGGAACGTAATTACTACTAAACATTCCTAATATATACGTCATATATACGTCATATCACCACATCTAATCCATTGAACGCCCTCTCCCCAGGTGCTGGCCTGATTATCAGTTACCTTGCCGTCCAGGTCAGTGTGGCCTACTACTTTCAGGAGAGACGACCATTCGCCATGGCCTTTATTCAGGTGGGGTCCAGCGTCGGACAGGTGGTCGTCGCTCCACTTACACACTATTTTGTGGATGAATACACCTGGCGAGGAGCCATGTTGTTACTGTCTGCTATCAGTTTACACCTGTTGGTAGTGGCAGCTTTACTGCGGCCTCACAGAAAAGAGCACCTTCATAAGAAACTTAAAACTGGCGTCCTGTTCGACTTTACGGTGCTGAAGAACGTGTCTCTCTTACTTATAATGCTGAACGCTGCGTTGATGAATGTGGTTCTTGGGTTATTACTGTTCCACCTTCCCGCTTATGCAGTGTCCTCAGGAACGTCCGTTCACAAAGTTTCATTGCTTCTTTCTCTCATAGGATTTACAGGTCTTTTCCTACGGCCTCTCTTTGGAGCAGCCATGAATCATCCGGATGTTGACATGTGGACTGTTTTCAGCATTTCACAAACGCTAGTTGGTGTCATAATGATCATATCTCCGATTTTTATGACCGATTTTTCTGGACAAGTGATATTTGTTTTGATTTTCGGCACCTACACCACTCCTTATTTCGCCGGATTTGCAGCCATGACGTTAGAGTGTGTGGAGTCCAAACACCAAGGGGCAGCACTGGCACTCTTCCAGTCTGGATCAGGTGTCGGATTACTCCTAGGACCTTTCATTGGAGGTATCAATTCACGTGACACCCGCGGATGTTCACTGTGCCACATATAATGCAGGGGCGGATTTAGGCCGTCTTCTGGGTCTTCCGGAAGACGGTCAGATTTTCAAGTTTACATTAACAGATATCTATTTTTTCTGTCGGAAGACGGTCAAAAGTGGAGCATGGATCAATAAAGATAATGCGGAAGCCTGTCAGAAAATATCTCTGGATCCGCCCCTGTAATGCGCGGTTAATCCTTTTCCGCTTGCCGTGGTTTCCTGCCTTTTTCCGGAACACAGAAAGAGGCATGACACTACGACCAGCGGAAATGAGTTAACCGCGCATTCGCGTAATTATAAGTGGAAAGGTGAATGCCCGACCTACAATTATTTGTTCCCGTCTTTAGACATCTGAATAATAGGCACATTTAGGGGTTCGCTTTTTTCTGTAACAAATAACTTATTTCGCTTCCTCTCATTTGAAAAAAGAGAATCGATTTTACATGTATATCCATGCAGTATCTCATATATCAGGTAAAACATCAGCGTCAATTGAATGCAGTGCCCCCGTTTTCGCTTTTTATTTATTTATGTTTTTTGTTATTGTTTTTCAGGTTGGGTGTATTCTTTGACAGGGTCCTATGCATCAGGCGTGCAATTTGCAGGTAATAATAATAATAATAATAATAATAATAATAATAATAATATTTTTCAGTCTATATATACAGGCATGTTAAATATGCATCAGGCGTGTAGATTGCTGGTAAGACCACTGAGTCAAATGCAGGGGTTCTCTTTCAACTCACACATTGCGAGAATGCTCATTACTTTTTAAAAATTATTCTTAAACATTAAGTGAAAAAACGTATGGCAAATGGATAATTCTTAAACAACCACGTGCATTTTTTCCATATAGGCGGTTGCCTCCTGGTCAATACTGTCGTCATGTTTGCGTTGAAGCTTTCATCTGGCAAGAATTCCACAGAGAAAATGGCAGAAGTAGGCAAACTGGATCACGTGACTTCTGGCCGCGCCAATTATTGCCCGAGTGAACCCATTGGCTCCACTGAGAATGTTGATTTTAGAAATTCTCTATGAATGGTTATTATGAAAATCAAGTAACGTAAGAAAGCTTTTGTGTCTGGAACAAACAACGGATGCCTTAAGCAGTCGGTCTGGCAGACGTGTTTCCACATGGCAGCTGTCAGTCAATGAGTAATGTGTTCACTGGTAGCCCGGAGATGCCCATAAAGACGTCAAATATGACTAGTTCTATGTCCAAGCAACGTCTGGGAGTAAGATAGTTTTAGCGCATATGCCTTCAGTGAAATAAAACGATAACATATAACGTAAATAATAATATTTACGAAATAAACGTATATCGTATGTTTGTCACATATTTACTTACATTAATGATTATTTTGTTCATTTTACGTAAATGCTTATCGGCCATTTATTTGAAAACTTCGTGAAAAACAGGTTCCAAAGAGGACATTATTTAGAAATGGTAATTCACTGATACAATACCATTTCAAACGTCAAAATTAAGATACAAAGAAAAAGGCTAGGACGTCGTACTGTGATATACACTTAACATCGATTTGTACTTTCATACATTGTGTGAAATTACACAACAAACATTCTTAATTTTGGAGGCCCCTGGTTTGAGGCCCCTGGTTGGAGGCCCCAATGTTTAATATTTAATTGCACAACAAAAATATGTTAAACTTTTCACCAATTCTTGGTTTGTGCACAGTGGATAGAACATTGATATATCTTCTTCATTATGACCCTTCATCTGAGAGTCCAGAAGAAGCACAAATACGTTAGAAACCTTGGGAATTAGGTAAAAACCCCGACTCTGGCGCCACTCGGTTTTCTTTTCAAGATTTCTTATATGTATTCAAACGCAATGCACATTTTTAAACCACTTGACGAACAGTACATTCTGTGCTTTATAGGACACGCCCCCCTTCTTGCACAACAAGACACAAAACAATTAAACGTTTAGCTTATGAATGCATATTACTTGATTTAACAGGTATATCTGAATGAGACGCTGCCTTCAGCTTCTCGGCATCTTTGGTAAAATCAGGAGAAGGACAGATATTGACATGGCAACCGGAAGTAACGTCATTGAGCTTATTATCCTGCATTGTATCCTCACTGATAGTCTTAGTGGGCGTCACCTTCGTTGCCATCATAGTCAGCGTGTTCACAAATAAACAGCCACCTGTGAAAAAACATAATGAGAACTGACTTTTGTTTTTGAAATGTTTCTCAACCTAATATTTCATATATGACGGATTTAAACCGCGCCTGTTCAAATAATTAATAAAAATAGAACCATTACATTTTCTGAATACAACGTATGCACCGAATAGAAAATATAGAGGATGTTGTTTAGTATTTGTATTGTTCTACATATGTTTTTATTATTGGAACAAAACAGCAAGTCTTACCTGCGAACTGCATGGCTGCTGCATACGACCCCGTGACGCTATACGCCCAACCTTGAAAATAACAAGATAACAATTGGAAACAAACAGCAGCTAATATGGAATCACACTTTTAGCCGATATTTCCAGTCTGAAAAATACATTAAATAACGCGAATTCATCTACAGAAAGTATTGCTCAAATAGCTGACATCAAATTATGGAATACGTGTATGATATATTACATATGAAAATGTGTTGATACATTAATAACCGGGGTATATACACACACACACGGTGGTCTACGGTTCTTTCTATTAATCATGCCCGCGTCTTTTCTTTGTATTCTACTTTCAAATGATACACGTTGTTGTCAAATGATAAAGATGCTGTTTTTACACATTGCAAAGAATTTCAGAATGGCTATTCATTTGCTAACCCGTCAGTCTTTCCACATGCCAGTCCACATGTACATGTTGGATATTCATAATTTTCTGCTGTTCATCTATTTATAAAATCCATTCCTTAGTCAGTAAATTAGTAAATGTCACTGTTTTATTATACTCCAGTGGGTTAGTATGTTAGTAACAACTACTCAGTCAATCATGTCGTTTATCTGTTGGTCCGCCCGTCTGTGCGTCTGTCCGTCTGCCTGGCTGTCTGTCTGGTAATCTTTTTCTCTGTTTCTTTACTTCCTCTAGTACTAGCTTAAAAAATGTGTGTCAGAAAAGAGTCGTACCTCCTATTATGGGCCCAAAGAAATAACCAAGTCCCACAGCACTCGACAGTATTCCCAACGAGGCTCCATAATGTTTGGGGACTACACTATCCAATGTTATAGCAACAATTCCAGTGAAGAAAGGCGTCACGTATATAGCAAATATTACCGCATACATTAACTGTCCTGTAAAGTTTACCATAAAAAACGGGCACAACAATGTTACGACACCACAGACCGATTGCGATATGCTGTAAACCGTCCACATACCCACATCCGGGTGATTCATAACGGCGCCAAAAAGTGGTTTCAGAACGAGGCCAGTTATTCCAATAGCGCCAAGCAGTAATGAAGACGCGTGCACTGATGTCCCCGAGTAAACGGCATACGCAGGAAAATGAAGGAAAAACATCCCAATCACCAAAGCCATCAATATGGTATTGAATATTAAGAGGTCAAATGGAATATTCTGAAGTACAGTTATTTCAAAGACGCTACCACTTTTCTGTTTCTTGTGAAGGTACTCATTTCTGTGGGGTCGTAACAACGCTCCAACTGCTATTAAATGCAGACTGAAAGCCGAGAGCATTAAAAACGCCCCTCTCCATGTGTAGATGTCAATGAAGTAGTGTGTCAGCGGTCCCCAAACTAATTGTCCCATACTGCCTCCGGTTTGCATGATGGCAATGGCAAGGGATCTTTTGGCGCTGAAGTAGTGGGATACGCTGATATGAACCGCTTGGTAGCAAAACATTAGGCCTACACCTAGAAAGACGAACAAACATAATATAAACAGAAAAATTAGATGGAACACGGCACTATAGCAGAGGCGTTACTATTTATTCACAATTAATGCCTCAAATTTTCCAAAAAAAAAATCCAAAGCCAAGACTACGGTTCATGGGATAGCCTTACGTATTCCATACATACCTGAAAACACCCCAAATGATATAATGACATGTGTACAGTTGCTGGCAAAGAAACTTCCCACCAGACCAGTGGCAGCGAACAGCCCTCCTATCATACAGCCTCTCCTACAGTCCAGCTTGTCACACAGTATACTGGCCAGGAAACCTGGAAATGATAACCAAATAAAAAGCAATCCATGTTGCCATGTGGTTTACCAGAAAGTTGTTTCACTTAACAGTTTGGTGCAACCAGAGAATTACATGTATATCGTAGACGTCTACGATCTAATTCCCTGGTCCAACGAAGAACAGAGAAAGGGCTTCATTTGTTATACTTGTCACACAGCCATGGAGCCTGGAATCAGGGACGAAATAACCAATATTGCTGTATTTCACTCACATCCAATGCTACATCCAGAGAGCTTATTGCTTGATAACCTAGCGTGAGTTTTTCTACCCGTTTTGACTATGAATACCACTATCAACCCAGAATACTCAGAAGTTGATTAAACTGAAAAGAAATCTGCAGTATTGCATGTGTGTAAAAAAAAACTCTGAATATGACTATTTCACGTGACAAGGATATTTATAACAACGCCCAGCCATAAATGCATATGCCGTAATATAAAAAAGTCGATCAGCAACGCTGCTCTTTGTACCTGATAACATTGTCTGCCCCAGAAACACAGAACCCACCATGGACGTGAGAACGTCCCCTTCACCAAGATCTTCCAATAATGGTAGATAGAAGACACCTGGAATGCAACAAGTTATTGAGACACTGTGTATATATAGTGTATGTAAAGCAGCTTTGGTGGGACAAATCGTGATCCGTTTTAATGCCTTAATAAATGAAACTTTTAATAAAACTGTCTTAATGCATTCTAATATCGAGTAAATAATAAATAACATCTTCTTTGCGGTTCAAATAATAAAACCAATCACTGACCGCAACTATACCAGTACCCGTTACAAAGGAAGAGTCCCACTGCTCCTGCCACCATGACAACCCATGACCAGCCGCTGTCCACGTGATCACACATGCCTCGCAGTTCTTCTTCAGCAGCTGACACCGGGATATCTTCTTCATCTTCCTTGACACGAGGGAGGGACATGACTGAAGATCCCAATACCAAATTTGGAAGACTGACGCTCATGTTGTGTCTGGGTTGGATGTCTGGTTTCATCTTCGTGAGGTCTGGCCAACTCCCGAAACTTTTGCGAATTGTTCGAAGAGTTTTTAACGCCAGAGCAGGCAAATGATGTTCGCCTGTTTTTCGGCTGAATACAAATATAAAGATAATAATAATAATTATTATTATTATTATTTTGCATCTAAAATCCAAAATTTGTTCAGGAGACTTCACAACACTACCCTGCACGTGAATAAAAATGATTAAAAGGCTACGAAAAGAAAAGGAAAAAAAATGATTAAAACAAATAATTTAGAAATTAATAATGTTACTTCTTCACTTCGTACACTTAATACATCTAATAGCGCGTTATTACAAATAGACAATGATCTAAACATTATTAAGTTCGATAATGAAATATGCCAATCTACAACGAACACCTAATCACACATAATATAACCAGGAGAACACTAAGACCGCGTTCAAATTCCAACATAGAACCGGCTAGATCGATCCAACTCTGCTAAGGATTCTCGCTAAAGTGCACGTGCATTCACTTGAGTATAGCTAGTTAATTAGATAATTATCCCCAGAACTCTAGGAGGCGTGTCAGACCTTTAAGCCCATTGCAGTAATTGCAATTAGGGAGAATCTCCCGCAGAATCGTTCCAGCTAGTACCATGGGTTTATCTGAACGCTTGCACTGGAGTGGGCGAGACACGCGACTCTGTTTCAGAGTGTAAATATAAACCGTGTTTGGAATACACGACTTGGATACACAACATACCGGCTGGAGTTGCATAGATTTTATTTGCATACCCTACAGATGGCTTAAGCAAGTAGCTGAAGTGTATACAGAGAGTGTGAAAGGTCAGCTTGTGGCCAGTACTGAACTGTATAAGCTGACCATCTTGGCAACCACCGTTTTGCATGTACTGAGGTAATAGCCAGGACGCTGAGGTCAGTGACATGAGGTCGTAGTGTTATCTTGGAATTATCTTACAACTTACAGTGACGGATTAAGGGGGAGTGTCGGGGGGGGTGGGGGATCCTGACCCTCTCTTCGATTTCTGAAAAAATCATACCAGTGGTCCCCTCTTGAAATTAGAATTTTGCTAGCTTAATTATAGTTCTAAACCACACCGTTCGCTCTCTGAAATACCAAACGTTTTCGGGGCTCTACAACGGGCCCCGTAGACTCACGCAAGGGGGGGGGGGGGTCGGCTTTATGTCTGCCGACCCCCCCCCCCCTTCAAATAATCCTGGATCAGCCCCTGACTTATAATAACGCCAGTTTAGTTACAGATTTTTATCAATTGGGATGAAAAATATTCTAATATAAACGTGTATATAGAAGTAAAGCTATTGTCACAGAAACACGATCAAGCTGTGAATGTCTTCTCCTTTGCTGCGCCCTCACACATCACTGCTATGGTCCATTTAGTTTCAGCTAAGCTTACACACACACATATATAAATGTTTATATGACACGGTGACAACCACGTGCACGCACGCAAACACACACAAACAACACGCCCACACAAACCCTAAAATAAGATTAAGACCTACGAGGCAGCCTGATTTACCCGTAGAAATAACTCACCGATAAGGCAGTCCCCGGAGCTGTGATCCAGTCCCTCCTAAGCTGACGGTGGTTGTTAGGGCTCCTTCCCGCCTCAGCTGCCGATGCACGTGGCTGTTTGGGCACCTCTCGACCTTTAGCTACGAGTAAACACAAACTCTTTCTCTATAGCGCACCCTCAGCATACTGCCCTCAGTCCATCGAAAGCTGAAATCTCGGGAGGTAATGAGGCCATTCAGAATGAGAAGAGCCGGGTGCTAGCTAGTCCACGGCCTAAAAATCACGGACGGAAGATCGCTTAATCCTGTAGTGGTATCTCTGCCTCTCACACGCCTCCCCACGCGTCGTCCCACGACCGGTTGAATTGAGTCGAGCTTTAATCACTGTGCCCCGACGAGTGGGGAGGCGTGTGAGAGGCGGAGACACCATTACAGGATTAAGGGATCTTCCCTTCATTTAGGTCCGCCATATTTAGGCCGTGGCCTAGTTAGCACTGGGCTTTTCTCATTCTGAAAGGCCTGCTTGATAGAAGCTGATTCTACCCCTGTAAGTCGGCAGTTTTTATTTCTATAGATGTTTTCACCACCCCCCTTCACCAGGGTATGTTATATCTAAATCATGGACTACGTTACGTAAACTGGGGTTTAAATCGTTGGTGGCAGTCATTCTCGTTATGCATACTGGCCATTTTAACTGGTGGAAAACGCTGAAATTCCCAGGAAAAATTATTGTCCTATCTAAAGTGCGTGGTATGCTTTAAACCACCTGTATGTTTTACATGTTAGTCTATATTATTTCAGTTGATGCTTATACAGGTATATAGCCTATGTATAAATATAGCATTGGTATAGGCAATTATTCAATAAGATACAAATATGCCCCAAATCTTATCATACTGGGAGGATTAAGATGTTTACCTTTGTCGTAGGTGCCGCCTTCGGTTTAACAGTGTATATAGTCCTATTTCCGCTTTACATTGTACTTTATACAAGCAGGGAGGGGCACGAAAGACGCGTGGCTACCAAGTTTTGATTTCGTGTTTTATCTTGAACGCAGATAACCTGTGTACAATAGGGTAATCTTGCCCACCCCTCCCCCAACCCCCAAAATAAACTGTTATACATGTATTAATCATTTGTGCACAAACATTAGTACAGCGTCAGTTCGATTTCTTGTTACATTTCAGCTGAGATGATGAAAAACATCTCTCACGTTATGACGATTCTCTTTCTTTGCAGAAGTTTCATTTTCACAATTTCTTGGTTTGTGCACAGTGGATGGAACGTAGATATATCTTCTTCAATATAATTCATTTGAGAGTCCAGAAGAAGCACAGATATATTAGAATCTATGGGAATAAGGCACAAACCCCACTTTGGCACTTTTTTTAAATATTATTAGTATATACTGTACACAAGCAATGTACATTTTTAAGTCACTTGATGAAGAATATATTTTGTGCTTTATAGGTCACGCCCAACGTTTTCACAATAAGACAGAAAACAATTAATTGCTTGGGTTATAAGTATGGATATTACTCGATTTAACAGGAATATCTGAATGAGACGCTGCCTTAAGCTTCTCGGCATCTTTGGTAAAATGAGATGAGGAGTGGATATCGGCATGGTAACCGGAAGTGACGTCATTGAGTTTGTTATCCTGCACTGTATCCTCACTGAGAGTCTTCGTGGGCGCCACCTTCATTGCTAACATAATCAGGGTGTTAACAAATAAACAGCCACCTGTGAAATAATATAATCTTATCTACCATATCTTATGGATTTCGACCATTTATTCTACATGTATAATTAATGGAAAGGCAACATTATCTTTCTTTTAAAAAAAGGCATGGGGGTTCTGTACTTTTTTATAGTTTGACATATATTTTTTTCATCGGAACTAGACATGGACTCCCTCTTACCTGCGAACTGCATGGCAGCGGCATACGAGCCGGTAACGCTATACGTCCAACCTTTAGAGGAATAAGAAAACAATTAAAATCAAACAGTAGCTAATATGGAATCACACTTGTAGCCGATGCTTCCAGTCTAAATAATACAGCAAGTAACGCGAATTCATACCAAGAAATTGTTGCTGGCGTCATCATATGGTACAGATGTATAGCGTTTGTAAAACATGGAAATATCACGAAACATACTATTTAATTTCACGTCTCTCCTTCGCATTCTATTTTCAAATGATAAATGTGTTGGTCAAATGATACAAATGCTGTTTTATACAAAATTTTAGAATGACCAATCATTTGTTTACCTGTCCGAATGCCTGCATATATGTTTGATATTCATTATTATCTAATGTTATTCTATTAATCAAATCAGTTACTTTATTAGATAATATGCCACTGCCACTTTCATAAGTTATAGTTCAGTTTCAGTGGGATGTAAAGAGCTCAGTCAATTCATTTCGTTTATCTGTTGGTCCGTCCGTCTGTGCGTCCGTTTTGCGTCTGTCCCTATGTCCTTCTGCCTGTCTTTTTTTTTCTTCAGTTCCTCTAGACCTAACTTATTAAGAGGTATGTCTTAAAAGTGTCGTACCTCCTATTATTGGCCCCAAGAAATGTCCAAGTCCCACAGCACTCGACAGTATTCCCAACGAGGCTCCATAATGTTTGGGGACTACACTCTCCAGTGTTATAGCAACAACTCCAGTGAAATAAGGCGTCAGGTATACAGCAAATATAACAGCGTAAAGTAACTGTCCTGTAAAGGTAATCATAAATAACGGGCACAATAATGTTACGACACCAGTGACCGATTGCGATATGCTGTAAACCGTCCACATACCCACATCCGGGTGATTCATAACGGCCCCAAAAAGTGGTTTCAGAACGAGGCCAGTTATTCCAATAGCACCAAGCAGTAACGAAGACGCGTGCACTGATGTCCCCGAGTAAACGGCATACGCAGGAAAATGAAGGAAAAACATCCCAATCACCAAAGCCATCATTATGGTATTACATACTATGAGGTCAAATGGAATATTCTGAAACACCTTTATGTCAAAGACACTGCCACTTTTCTGTTTCTTGTGAAGGTACTCATTTCTGTGGGGTCGTAACAACGCTCCAACTGCTATTAAATGCAGACTAGAAGCCGAGAGCATTAAAAAAGCCCCTCTCCATGTGTAGATGTCAATGAAGTAGTGTGTCAGCGGTCCCCAAACCATTTGTCCCACACTAGCTCCGGTTTGCATGATGGCAATGGCAAAGGATCTTCTGGCGCTGAAGTAGTGGGATACGCTGATATGAACCGCTTGGTAACAAAACACTAGGCCTACCCCTGGAAAGACGTACACCCATACAATAAACAGAATTATTAGGTAGAATACAGGGCACTGCAGTCGAAGCATAAGTATCAGTTCACATTTAATGCCTCAGATTCTGGCAAATGATTGAATATATAGAGATCCCCAAAACTGGGGTTACGCACAAGTCATCAGAATTTGTCAACAGTGAATCATCATTAGAAGACATAATTTACTCTATCTGTGAGTAAATACTTCTATATGTATATATTTTTTTATTTATATATTTTGTATCGACCCTGCATCTTATATACATGTATCACATACACACCTGTAAACACCCCAAATGATATGATGAGGTGTGTACAGTTACTGGCAAAGAAACTTCCCACCAGACCAGCGGCGGTGAACAACCCTCCTATCATACAGCCTCTCCTACAGTCCAGCTTGTCACACAGTATACTGGCCAGGAAGCCTGGAAATGATAACCAAATAAAAAAAAACAATTCTAATTGCTGCAAGGTAAATGGAGCGCCAGTGAACGGTTTGATGCAACGTAGAACAGAGAAGAGGCTTTGTTATAGCAGCCTTTAAGCTTTAAGCCGAGTCACTTAGGCGTCGGTCAGCAACGCCGCTATTTTTACCTGATATAATGGTCTGTCCCAGAAACACGGAACCCACCATGGAGGTGAGAACGTCCCCTTCACCCAGATCCTCCAATAATGGCAGGTAGAACACACCTGGAATGCAACGAGTTACTGAGACACAGGAACAATATATAACCATTTTTAAACGTGAAAGCAGCTTTGTCTTTGGTGGGACAAATCGTCATCCATTTAATACCTTAGTAAATGAAACTTTTAAGAAGCCTCTCTTAATATTTTCTGATATCGAGTATACGATAAACAATAACCTCTTCTTTTCAGTGGTCGCTCAAATAGTAAAACCAATCACTGACCGCAACTATACAAGTACCCGTTGCCAAGGAAGAGTCCCACTGCTCCTGCTACCATGACAACCCAAGACCACCCGCTGTCCACGTGATCACACATGCCTCGCAGTTCTTCTTCAGGAGGTGACACCGGGATATCTTCTTCTTCTTCTTCCTTGACACGAGGGAGGGACATGACTGAAGACCCCAATACCAAATTTGGAAGACTGACGCTCATGTTGTTTCTGGTCTGGAAGTCTGGTTTCATCTTCGTGAGATCTGGCCCTACTCCGACTCCCGAAACGTTTCTATTCAAATTGTTCGGAGAGTTTTTAACGGCAGCCATGCAAATGTTCGTTTGTTTTTCGGCTGACTACAAATATAAACAATAATAATAATCTTTATTGGTACTAAAATAATAATAATAATAATAATAATAATAATAATAATAATGATGATGATGATTATGTGTATTGATGCTAGCGCATAATTACAAAATGACTTTGATCTAACCGCTAAATACTACAATAATGAGATATGCCAATCTACAACGAACACCTTCACACACATAACATTGCCAGGAGAACACTGAGAACGTGTTCAAACTCAATCATTGCACCAGCTGAATCGATCCATCTCTGCTGGGGATTCTCGCTATAAAGCGCATTCACTTGAGTAGGTAGTTAATTAGCTAATTACTCCCTAGCAACCCTAGGAAGCGTGTCAGACATTTAAGCCGATTGCTGGGACTGCACTTACGGAGAATCTCTCGCAAAGTTGGATCGATCCAGCAAATGCGATGGGCTTATCTCAACGCTCCCTTACACTGGAGTAGGCGAGACACGTGACACTGTTACACAGAGTGTAAATATAAACCGTGTTTGGAATACACGGCTTGGATACACACACATCGGCTGGAGTTGCATGGATTTTATTTGTATACCCTGCAGATGGCTTGAGCAAGTAGCTGAAGTATATATATAGAATGCGTGAAAGGTCAGCTTGTGGCCAGTACTGAACTACTGAGATGACCACCGAGTTACAAGGACTTAGGTTATAGCCAGGATGCCGAGATCAATGATTTGAGGTCGTAGTGTTATCTTGGAATTATCTTACAACTTATAATAATGTTAGGTTAGTTACATAGATGTGTTCATCAACACGTGCATAGCTATATTGTTACAATAACACGATCAAGCTGGTCCCATGTCTTCCACTATGCTCTCCCCTCACACGCACAACAATACGATGTCCCATTTAGTTTCAGCTAAGCCCCCCCCACACACACACACATACATGTAAATATGTCAAGGAGACAACCACGTGCACACACACACGCACACACACACGCCACGCGCGCACACACCCCAAAAATTAAGACCTACGAGGCAGCCTTATTTATCCCTAGATAAAACTCACCGATCAGATTGTCCACAGAGCCGTGATCCAGTCCCTCCTGAGCTAGCTGACGGTGGTTGTTAGGGCGCCTTTCCTCCTCAGATGTTTGGGCACCTCTCGACCTTTGGCTTCGAGTAAACACAAACTCTTTCTCTATCGCGCATACTCAGCATAATTCTCCCCAGTCCATCGACAGCTGAAATTTTGGGAGGTTTTGATAGCAGCTGACTCTGTGAGTCGGCTAGTGAGGTAGATTTTTTTCTATAAATGCGATCACTTTCGCCATTACCAGGATATGTTATATCTAAACCATGGACTACGTTACGTTAATTCGGCTTTAAATCGTTGGTGGCAGTCATTCTCGTCATGAATATTGGCCATTTTAACTGGGGGAAATGCTGAAATTTCCAGGATAAATTATCCATCTATATCACGGTGTAACGCGCGTGGTATGCCTTAAACCAACTGTATGAATTACAGGTAAGTCTAAGTGGTTGTTACCTCAATCGATAGGCATATGTATAAATAAAGCGTTGGTATAGGCAATTATTCAATAAGATACAAATATGCCCAAAATCTTATCATATGTTTACCTTTGTTGCGTTGGTATAGGTATCAGCAGGAAGTGTGATGTTCAGTGGGCACGTCATTCACCGGACTTGAACCCCCTCTCCCCCAGATATTTTGTGGGTCATCTCAACGATTCAATGTACCAGAACAACCCTCTAATGATGGGTGAACTGTGGGGAGCAATCACAGCAAAAATCAGGGAAATCCCGAAGGAGGAATGTGTTTGAGAAATTGACAATTTTTTGCGGCGTATGCAAGTCTGCGACCAATGCTTTGGGATTGCGGTAGAGAGATCCTTTATAACCCCCTCAGGCTGTGCATTTCATTTCTCAACTAACACAATCTTGCTTGTTTCCACTGTTGCTGCATGTATTTTGTGTTTCATAAAAAATAGGAAACAAGGCAGCACGGCTTTCAGTTGTTCGGACGTATAGCGTGATTACCACAGATTTTGTTTCTGTGGATATTTACAAAATGTCACTGCCCTTTGCAACATACCAGGCCTGCCGCAAACTCTCTCGCATATTTGCTGCAAAGTTGCTGCAAGTATGCTGCATATCTGAAAGAAGTTCTTGCAAATTTGCTGTACATTTGCCGCAATGTGCAGCAAATTTGCTGCAAATTTGCAAGAACGTGAATACTAATTAACAGCAATACGATTTTTTTATCAGCTGTTGTTTTGGACTGATGGGAAGGCCGACCGAAGGGAATAAAACCAATGAGCGTTTGCTAACAGACCGAGATCAAATTTAAAAATGGCGTAATTGTGGTCGTGTTTGCAACCAGTTGATTCGCTGACTAACTGTTCCTCGTATTTAATATGGCGTGCACTTGACAATGGATTCCCGTCCCCCACGCGCACCGTCCCCTCAGGGGCAGAGCAATTCAATCTCAGCACGCTTTTAAGTGGTTCGCAGCATATTTGCTCCGCGGACTAGTTAGTACGAGGATCAACTGGTTGTGAACGTGGCCTTTCTTTTTAGATGTAGAAATAAAGGAAAATTTTGAAGAAAACGCCTCACACCACAATTCAATGCACGTACATTGTCCCCGGCAGTGTTTACATACTCCAACATGGGGCCCACTTTACAAATAAACTCAATATCGCATACTGGTCTAAACTTTGAGACGGAAAGATTTGGGCTTCTTTACTTGCAATTCGAGGTAAAATTGTAGCTGTCCACTGAAATGAATTAACTTTGGTTCAAACTACGGACCATGTTATATATTATAACGAAGTATGCGCTTGAGACCAAGTCCATACATCGAAAAACCGACCAATTGGTTTTATTCGTTTCTATTTTTAAATAAAAAGTGCGGTATTTACAGTTTGTTTTAATACCTTGTTCGTCTAATGCAGACGTATCACAAAGGAAGCTACTAAATAAATATTTCATGCTACAGAACGCGGATCTGTGGCTATGTTTGAAAGATTAAATCAATATAAAGTAAACTCTTCTAAGAAAAAAAGGGACTGACTGCAAATAAAAAAACAAACCTCATCACGCATTCAAGAGGTTTATTAAGATGCTTTGTTCGTCCAAAAACAGACGTATCACAAAGGCAGTTACTAAATAAATATGCAACACAGTAGTAGAACGTGGGTCAGGGATAAAATGTCTTGTTTGACTAAAAACAGGCTTATCACAGACACGATAACCATTTTAATATGGTTCACCACATAACACCGGATAGGGGTTAACATGTAGCCTATATTTTAAAGCTAAAATGAAATAAATTAAGTATAAATGGACTAAATACGTAAATAAAGTCAATAAAGGAAGGGGGAACGGTCTAAGAAAGAAGATCTTAGCTCATCACGCTTGGAGATCGCATATTAGCAACAAATAGAGAACTACTTTGATATTTAGTCTGTCTCTAATTATAATCAGTTTCCCAAAACAAATTAAGTTAAAAGAACGAAGTGAGCAAAGCCTGCTTAATGTAATAATTCCAGTCATCCAAACTGCATTTCACTTTTAAATTCAGCGCCTTTGAGAATTATAATAGTTTGCTGTAGTAAAGACAATATCTGACATGGGTATGTCGACCGTATATTTTTTATGTACGCAATCGTTCCTTGACATTACAGCCTAGTTTTGTTATCACAAGCCGGCGGCCATTTTGCAAAGATAAAACCTCCATCCTTCATTAATACTGACATAATATCGTGCGTTATGTAAGGGCAAAGCATTGGAATGTAATTTGACATAACCAGTTTTCAGTAGAAAACTAACTGAAAAATATAACAATCGCAGCTGATGCTCACCCACAAACAAAGTGGTGCAAAACTTTTGTCTTATGTTTTTTTTTTTTTTTTTCGACAGGAGCGCCATGACCTGTATTTAGTGTTATGCATCTTTCACAAAGGTTTGACGACCGTACGTTACACGATTTTCTATGTTTGCGTTCTCAGTGAAAGAAGGGAATGGAGACGACAACAACAGCGCCGACGACTGACGCACGTGATTACTATACCATTATGTACAGATTCACTGTGTCTGTACATAAAAGTGAACAAGAGAGAAATAATAAAATAAACTTTTAAGTATGTAATTAGATTAAGCTTTGGCATACCAAGCAGACATCGTCAAATATAAGTTTCGTGGCTTTCTTTTTAACCATGCTGTTCGTTATGATGTAGAAATGAGAGAATTGAGCGGCGACAGTACAGGTATGTCTAATGACCACACGTGCGCTATATACTGCACGAGCGAGGGAGACACCCAACATATATTGCACTATTAAAGGGATAATAACTCTTCGTTTCGTCTAAAAAATGAATTTTCCTGGAGTACACAGCAATTTTCCCATACTCACCAATGGTTAATGAATCAATTTTTACATTCAAAGTTAGTCCCTGTTTTTTTTCTAAAAAGTTTGTTTTTTTTGTTAAAATCTCTTAAGAGATTTTAACAGAGTATAGCCATCAATGGAGGTCATGTGGTCTAAAGGCAAGCTCAGATATCAGAATAATAGCTATAACTGCCGTTTTTGTGGTAAAACAGAATATATTATATTTCTGTGCGTTATTCACAATGTTTTATTGTGAAATATAGATCTCATACGAAGAGTTATTATCCCTTTAATGAAATTATAACCTTCGCCAATAATTTGGTTTTAATTGTGTGCTGGTGTTATTGTGAGGTTCTATTTTATATTCACCGATCGCGAAGAAGTAAGCAACAAGAGTCGTGGATTTCCAAACAGCTTTATTCCCACTGCCTAAGTTCTTTCTCTACCCACCACCTGTCCTATTTATATCCAGCTCTACCTTCCATGTCTCATTGAAATATTACGAATAAAGTTAAAAGGATAACGTCTGTTCGTAAAATGTCCATATTTTACAATAAATTGTAAAAAACTCATAGAAATATAATAAATTCTATTTTACCACCGAAACGGTCGTTAACACAATTATTCTGGAATTTGTACTTGCCATCACATTTCACCTGCATAGAAGGTTAAACTCAGTAATAATCTCTTAAGAGAATATTACAAAAAACCAAACTTTCTAGAAAAAAAACAGGGACCAACTTTGAATGTAGAAAGGGAATCATTAACCATTGGTAAGTATGGGAAAATTGTCCTTTACCCCAGGAAATCCATTTTTGGGCCAAAATGAACAGTTGTTATCCCTTTAAGATATTATCTAGTCTCTCAAGACAAGTGTCACGACTTATGGGGCGTATAGGACACGCTAAAGCAAGGCTGACACTTGCACGATTCTGTGACACGCATTGGCACGACTCGAGTCGTGCCAGTGCGCAAACTAGTCGTAAACTGGCGTGAAGTGTGCGTAAACCCGTCGTGACTGCGTGCCATGTCGGGACGAGAATTTTGAAATGTTCAAAATTTTGGTCACGACAAAATTTCGCGACCGGGTCGTGAACTATGCGCAAACTGTTCGTGAACTCCTCGGGACGATGCGGGAGGATGCGTGCCAGTGCGAATATTGCGTGCCCAAGTAATGCCCCTATTTCACACAGACCACGAATCCCACGAATGGCCGTGAATTGGCAAATTTCAAGATTCGTGGTTGAATCGTAATCAGTTCGTGAAGTTCTTAACAGATTCGTATATAATCGTTGTCAGTTCTTGCAATTCTTGATTAATCGGGAATTCGTGGCAAAAATTTTGAGCTGTTCCAAATTTTGGCCACGAACTCCCGATCCCAAAAAATCGTAGTGAATTTCTGGACAATATTCGTGCGATTCCAGCCGAATCCCACGAATATTCGTAACACTATCGCACCTGTATCGTAACTGAATCGTAGAGCGTGTCGAATTAGACCAGAAAATTGGCAAAATCTCACGAATCTTCACGAATCCTAAAATTTGTCAATTCTTGGCGATTCGTGGTATTCGTGGTCTGTGTGAAATAGGGGCATAAGCACGACACCGTCCAAATTGCGCAACCTCGTCGTGCAATGGGGGAAGTGCGTAAACCATGCGCAAACTATGCGTGAACTTGTCGTGCAAGTTCGTGTCAATGTGGACACGCATTCGTAAACTATTCGTTAGCTCGTCGTGAACTCGTCGTGAACTAGAAGGGAACGGTGCGGGACCCTCCCACTTCGTGCCCCAAAATGGCACGACTTGCCACGACACAATCGGGGCCAAAAGTCGTGCAAGTGTCAGCCTTGCATAAGGGGCGCCACCGCGTCCCTTACAGTCCTCCCCTTACACTGTGTCTTTACATAAAAAGATGAATAAAAGACACAAAAACGGATGTAAAAGTATGTAATCAGATGTACTTTTACATGCTGGGGAGGCAAACCACGTAAAATAACAGTTAAAGTTTGTTAACAGACCATAGTAAAATATAATAAGCATGTCTTTCTTTTTAATGATGTTGTTCGCTATAAAATGAATGCAGATAGAGGACATAAAGGAAAAGATCTGAAGAAAAAGTCCACATCACAATTCAGTGCACGTAAAGCTGGATACAAGATTAACCAGAACATAGGATTCAGCATTCCGTGGTGATGGCATTTTGGAATTACTACTTTTCTACAAAACCATAGCAGGTGTCTTTCTTACAAATCACAAACAATTATATATCAGAATACGTTATGGGATATGCAACGCAATTACGAGTAACGACTTAAATTTCTCTCTTGCTTGCTGCAGACTTCTGCGGCCTCGAATTTCACGTGAACGACCGTTAATGCCGTTAATGCCATTAATGCTAATGGGCGTTAATGCTACTCCAAGTTGAGAATCCACAAGGGAATGCTTCCCAAATGCATTGAATGTCAAAAATTGGTCGAAACTTTGAGACAGACATAGACAACTTGACGTAACTTTGCATATTAAAGTCAACGAAATCTAAGTAAAGAAACCGTGGAGCATAAAAATGCTTTGTTCTAGAAATGTACGCTTTTACGAGTCCAAAACCACATGTAACGTTGAAAATCTTCTTGCAATAGCACTGGTTTCTATTTTTATTCATTTTTTCGAAACTTGAGGTTAAAGACATAAAAATAGCAAAAAAAAAGTAATGGGAACTGGGCCCATTAAACAACCCCTGTAATTCTCCTGGTTGCTGCTGATTCATAGTTAGCTCACGTCTCCTGATCTCCGCCCTGGAGAAAACAGTGGTTAGAGAAGCGACTCCAAAATAAGACAAAGCCACGGGCCTGCTTTCCAGGAGAACTCAAAAACGAAAATTGGTCTAAACTCTGGGACGTAAAAATTGGGTCTTCTTCGAATGCAATTCGAAATAAAATTGTAGCTGTCCACCGAACCATTTTTGTAGTACCACAGACCACGTCTTAATTTAAAGAATAGAAAAATAGTTGCAAGCAAATAGAGCCACAGCAGACTAGCTAGAGCGCAATCAGAGCAAGTTGCTGCAGGGGTCTAGCATTAAAACCTCGGAGCCGAGATGTAATCCATTTAATGGCGCGTGTTGAGGCGGGGAGACCATCAGGGGATTAGGCGACTTGCTTTTAAAGGGGGTCGGCCATATTTAATCCGCGGATCATCTGCTCTGAATGCGCCCTTGGTCCCAGGGGATTAGAAGTCGGGGATAAATGTTGGTCTTTTGTCGGATTGGAATGCTAGTCACGTGCTTGTGTGACATGCACATGCTCTAGCTTGCTTAGGATGTGACCCCAAACTTCCACCCCGTGTTTACTGTCTATTTGATTCACGAATAATGGGGAGATTTACGGTGTGATTTCCAACTTTACGAACCATTAGAGGTCATCATGAGAGAAAGATGTCTGACCTCCATACAAAGCCTGCGTAGTTTTTTTTTTTTTTTTTTCGAGATGACTAAAAATTATACTTTTCTCATTTTTATGCAGTGACTTTCGACAGTAGCGTGATGAATGTTACCATGAAATACAGGCAAATGCCTACACGGTTCAGATGTTCTTTGTGACTATGAATTGTCCCCTCGGTATGTAAGGTATGTCACCTGTCACGCCACACTGCGGCTGTCTACCCCCTGACCAGGGACGCTGGGAGTTTTTTTTTTTTTTTTCATCAGATGTTCACTGATAATTCTCCGGCTCATTCTGTGTACATTTCTGTATTTTTTAAAAGTGCAGATAACGTCACGAGCTCTGGCCATCTGCTTCTTGCGCTAAGACACACGTTTTCCTCTTGGACAGAAGCAACTGGTTTCGTTCAACATTTCATCACAGAAATAAAAACTATTTTGCATAGTAATGGCGTCATCAGTCATCTCGACTTCCGCCCACACTTATAAAGCCGACACGACCCGCGTCTCGCCAGCAGACGCCTGGTTGACAATCTGACCCAACACAATGGCCGCGGCGCAGAAGATGTGGGGCGAGCGACAGTTTTGGGGAGTTGGCAGCGATTACGATCCTCCCTACACTCTTACTGAGGAGCAGAAGCAAATCGAGCGGGACCTTATTGAACTGTGTCGAACCACTTTGCGCCCTAATGCAGTAAGTCTTTTTTATTATTTGTTTAGTTTTGTTAGTTTGTTTATTTTTTCTTTCTTATTACGTTCCATAATTTTTTCGCACAATGAATTTTATATGTAGGACAGGTTTATGTACTTTAAGTCAGGAGACTTATTTTTATCGACGGCAAAGGATATATAGCTTATTTTAGACAAATAGACAAAGCGGGTTAAGAAAGATTAACAACTAGAAAAGCACTCCGAGAGCGCAGACCTACCTCCGCCAAGGCAGCAATTTTTATTATCATTGATTATTGATTGATTATTGATCCGGATCACCACCAAAAACTAATCACTTCTAAGTTAACCCATTTCACACCTACCCTGAAAATTTCATCAAAATCGGTCCATAACTTTTTGAGTCATGTTGATGACAAACAAACAGACAGACAGGCAGAAAAACTGGGGTGAAAACATAGCCTCCTTGGCGGAGGTAAAAATGTCGAAAGCAAAGCATATATGGTGTACTTCAGACAAATGGACAAAGCACGTTAGGAAAGATTAACAAAAATGAAACACGCGGTTTCATGGTGCTGAATAATTTCATTAGCTGGGGGTCTCTGAAGTGGTTAAATTTAAATGGACAGTTGTCAAAGTCAGTCCCGTGAAAACGTGAAACGTATTTGGGACAAAATATGGAAAAATATACAAAAATGTTTTTATTCTTTTATCTTCGCAGCCATATAACAGCTATCGATATTAATGATAACAATTGCCAGAGTGCCTCTAGGGTTTTGACTATTGTCATTTCAATCGATATAAACGGTTTTGCTGAACATGTAAAATTCAAATAAAAAATCATTTTTAAGTCAACGTTTCTTGACATCTTGGCAAAGGGGATCTACCAATACATGCATTCATTTTAGATCAAGTACATGAACAAAATCCTGTTTAGTTACTAGAACAATTTTTTTTTCTTCTTCAATCAACAGATAAATATTGAAATAATTTACCTCCAATATTTCGATGCCTTACAGAGCATCTTCATCAGGGAATGGGGTTATCCAGGTGAATAGCCTCCATTCAGGACAGCCTATTCCCCTCTATTTTGATGTCTAACAGAGCATTTTCATTTGAGATGCGGGATGTGATAATAAGCGTGATAGGGCCGTGCCTGGAAATGTTTATAAAAGTACAAATGTGGCTGAAAAACCGGTTGTTTCACACTACTGACATCAGCCTTCACAAGATAATGTAAGTATGGAATGCATGGCCTCATAATTTGTATAAGTTATTTTCGTCTGGGGTTACACCCGATAAAAACATTCTGCCATGTTCCGAGCTGATGATAATAAGACATGCGCAATAACCATTTCACTTTATATAGTTAAAAAAATAGACGTAATACGGATATTAAAGTTAAAGATTTGCATAGATGAATAAAATCACGTTAAGTGGCATTTCTCTACACTGAATGATACGGAACGCGCCTGGGATAACTAAGCCGTGGGTATTGAAACACACCCAGTGAAAGGCTTATGGCCAGATTTTATGATTGCATTTCAATACAGTTTGTTTTCAGCGCAAACTGTTTTTCGTTATGCATTATTTTGATAATTTAAGAGAAGATTTTTTGTAATGACAGTTAACTTGCGTGAAGATTTGGTTTGTTTTCATGCACAAAGTCTTTATTATTTATCATTTATTTAATTCTTTTGACTTTGAATAAGTCAACGTCCTTGTACAAATGAAAAACAAGTCCCCAAAAATGTGTCGTCAATGTCAACGGAGAGGTTGTGTTATGGAAGGTGATCCGTACGTCATAAAGACATACATTTACCAATACAACTTTTCCCGCTTAGGTTTATGTACAGTACTTCTCTTTATGTAAAATATTGCAATATAATGAACACTTACTGAGCAGAAAATCCTTTTATTGGTGTCTTATTCACAACCCCAGACCCTGCTAGATAGCTCCTGTTTGGCGGGTTGAAATATGAGAAGGTCGAGTGTGTTTAAATTACGATTTTTCCAGGTGAGGTCATCACTCATGATCACCTGTATTGGTCTACAGCTGTTTAAACATTTGAAAAAAGTGCCTGGGAGTGTGAAGAAAAGGAATAGATCTACCATTATCCAACCTTTCTGATCTCTGATAACAAACTTATCTTGACGGTCAACCTCCGCCACCTCAACCACCTTACATCTATGTGGTTGCAATGGCTGATGGTGTAATGAATTCAGACAGGAAAAATATGCGAACCATATTGTATGATCTTTATTGTACCACCGGTATTGTACGCGTGTTTGTTTTCAAGTGCACGTACCTTTGGTAAAGCTGGTTACTTTACACCCGTAAAAATCTCATATTGTTAAAAGGCTGTTGTAAGTAACCTTAAAATCTTAAAAATTAAAAAGGTTGAAATTTGTTGAGGATTAGTTTTCCTCGAAACCTTTTTGCATTAAAATGTAATGTTGTAATATTTACGCAGCTACATGTATTAATCGGAGATCATGGGTAAGAATGGAAGACAGAAAGACTAACTCAGTCGAAAAATATACCTTCCAACAGATTAATTATATACCGCCTACGTGCATGTATAAACAAGTTTGTTATTTTGCATTTCACTTAGTCAGTTTTGTTGAAATCGGCCTTACTTATGACCAGAGGCAGGTGGTTGGATGGCTAGATCCCAACAACGCTAACACCCTAAACATAAGAATGCATTTTGACGGTATTTCCAGCGTTTTAAATGCCATAAAGGATACATTTAAACGCTACTTACGCCATTTTGAATGCCAAATTTTAACACTAATGATTTATGTTGCTTTTAATGTTTGGTAGGGCCTATGCACCACAACATGTACTACCGTCTGAAATCCAGGTGACTTGTAGCAAAGGCTGAAAGAATGCATAGATTTACATATAAAATGCAGACTATATCAGCAAGGGTCATCAAAAATGAATGGCATTTTGACATGGTGCCATTATCCCATTCTTTCAAAAGAGCGAGTTTTCAAATACGATTTGCCAAGACACAATTCATGTCGACAAAATGACAAATTCCAATAGCAATGCCTGGCTGCAATTTCACACACAAAAAAAAACCTAAGTAAGTTCTCTGGCTTAGTTGACTAGGATTCCATGAGAGTGCTGTTACACTACTCCTGATAGGGTAAGATGTGCCCATGTGACCATGTAACCTTGGTTATTAAGTTCTTAGTCAGGTGACCTGACTTAAGTTTTTTTTTTTTTTTTTTGCCACGCATTGACTGAATGTTAACAAACATTCATATGGACCGAAATGATTGTTATTAAAATACTTGTTAAAACTGGCCAGGTTGTCTCGATTACATGGACATGTTGTATATTATATTTGGAAGGGCCAGTTATTTTAGCTGTCTTATATTATCAGCAACTCCTGCTTTGTGGCAATGAAAAGCAAGTTGCCCGCTGATGGAGAACGATAACAACGTGTAAATGTATACATGATGATCTTGCAAAATGCAACAGAATTATACTACATGTGTATCATACAGCACAGCAGATACAAAGAAACACTGGTTTATACCGCTGGCTAACACTCCGTGACGGTCGAATTATAGGTTCTGGCATAAATAATAAAAGCTTTGGTGAAAGGGAGGGAGGGAAATGAGCCCATTTAATGGGTTTTGTCGTCATAGTATTCATTGTTAGCAAAACATAGGTTCGCACTAAAATATACTCGACTTAAAAGAGACGTAGACTGATAAAAAAATACGTTCATTTCTGCCAGTCTTTATATATATATACTTGTAGGTGGTTTCTGATGAGACGTACGAGTTTCCAAGAGCTAATATGGACGCGCTGGCTCGTATGGGGCTTCTCAGTCTGATTGTTCCCAAGGAGTTGGGAGGGCGTGGTCAGAATCACGTGTGCGTTGCCATGGTAGTCGAGACTATCGCGAGATATGGGTGCCCTAGCACGGCAATGGTATATTGTAAGTGTTATTTCATTCCTTGTTGGTATGAAGTCAAAAATTTAAATAATTAACAAAGCCTAAAACCATTTTAAAGTTTTCAGTAAGATGCACTAGTTCCCAGTGCGTATCCAATTAATCCCGTCAACTTCATGTAAAATGTTTTTTCATGCTGCACGATTTTTCATTTTTTTAACAACAGGTAATCTTGTTTTGACGCAGTTAGAAAGTACCTATTTAGTACACACTTGTAACAAAACTGACAAAATTAAATCAAAACATGTCACTTAATTTGGTCTCTAGATAGTGTGTGTGTGACTGTGTGTGGGCGCGCACATGCGCCTATATGAACGAGGTAGCAAGCAATCCTTAACACATATTTACTTCCCCATTTCTGTAACAGGCATGCACACTTCTGCTGTCGCCGGCCTTTGCTCCCGTTACCATGACAGCCAACTGATCCAAGATGTCCTCCGTAGGCTGGATCAAGACAAGCTGATCGGCACGCTCTCATACAGTGATCCGGCGTCCGGTGAGAAATATCCCTGACTTCATTGTATCAGTGTCAGTACAGCACGAACTAGAAAGACGGAAAAAACGTACAATTTTAAACAAATTCGTCTTTAAGTATGTTTATTACAAGTTTTAGGGGAAAAATACGCAAAAAAGTTATTTTAGCATGCATATCTTATCAAAACATTTGCACTTTAAAAAGCATGCACTGTGTTTATGAGTAATTATTTGTCGTATAAAAATAATGAACTACCGATATGCTTCAAGTACGTGCAACTTATTAGAAGTTTCGAAATACATTTTATCACTTAGCTCCATTGTGGACTAAATAAAAGAATCACAACCGAAATGACTCACCAAAGTGTCAGTTTGCAGGAAAACTTCCAAGAGATAATTCTGGTAGTTTATTTTTTTAAAAAGCATTTATCTGTTATTGTCTAAATCTACATGAAATTTAATTCAATAATGAAAAACTATTTGAAGTACTTGAACATACCCGGTAGATCGCTTTTAAAACGGCTGATATTTACATGTACGTACAGTATGACCATAATGTATCTAAAATCCTTTGCCTCTAGATAGTGAAAACGTTAGGATTCAAAATCGCAGCATTATTCATCCACTTCACGCGTCATCCGGATAGTGCAAACCTTTAACTTATTTCTGCAATAAAATTAACCAGTATATGTTGAAAATGTCAACTTTAAGGGGGCCATTTCTGGTACGTCCTCTCGTCCAAATCAGACTACACTGCGGACGGTAATATCCAGATGCTGAAGTTCTCGTCATGGACTACCAGCGCAGGTTTTGCCGACTTCTATGTGGTAGAGACGCTGAGCCCGGGGGTCAAGGACGACATGGCTAATATGACGGCCATGTTGCTGTTTGCAGTAAGTCACACGTGCTGGGCATATTTTGATCTACCCTGTATTTTGAATTGAATATTTTATGAAAACAAACACTTGCAAGGTGCATTTTCACCATGGAGACGGGAGTATTATGGGGAGCATAAAGCCTAAATGTTCGCTACTTGGTATACTGGTACAATCAGGCAAATATTCGCGGACTTTCTACCGGGGTATAGTTAGTAGGGGAGACCGGGGCTAGTTGGACCCCCATCAACGTATGACAAAGTAACTATGGGGTAAAAGAATTGATCACATCATTTTGTAAAGTGACCGTATCCAATAGTGCTAAGAGCGTGGGCAGTGAGTCCAAATGAAATGATTTAACATCTTAAAGTAACTTTATTAAAGAGACTTGATGGGGGGCCAACTTACCCCGGGGGTCCAACTAGCCCCGGTCTCCCCTATGTAGTTACGTATTACAGTGCCGAAATCCTTGTAAGTATTCTCAGGCCGGGCATGTTGAAGCTAGTACTTAAATATGGAACTCATCCGAGAATACTTGACTTTTGATTCAAAGGGTATCCATTTGCAAATCCAGCCAATCCAAATAGTAGCCACTAACGTCACCATTTTGGAACTACCCTGAATTTTCCCCGCTGAAAAAGTCAGTTTACAGTTAGTAAAATCTGCAATCAAGAATGTTTTATGCTTTTCACAAAAAGATGATGAAGTGAGAAGAAAAATACATTCTAAGATGCTGTTACACTGGAAAATTCGGGAGAATAATCAAATATTTGAATTTTAATACTTTTTGAAAAAAGCAATTGTTTACACAGTGTTATGTATACAACGCTTTATATATAGGACGAAGTGCGTGCGCACACCAGCGATTGGTCAGGACTTGGTGTACATGGCAACCAATCCGGTATGCTGATTTCTGAGGGGATCCTAGGCCCAGACAGGATCATTGGCAGAATCGGTAAAGTACCGTATATTATTGGTTTGTCAGTGTTGGGATATACCATTAAGACTGCATAATAATTAATTGTGTGTTATTACCAAATTGGTGAAAGTCTAAAATACGATTAATTAGTGAACGGAAAATAGGCTACAAGTTACACCAACTAAGGACACATGCCGAGGACATACACGTAAAAAGAGGTCTACGTAACCGCCTTCTGCTCATTATTATCATTCTTCTTTTATTATTATTATGTAAAATAATTTTTGGTAAACTCAGGTGAGGGGGCATATCTAAATGACGAGTCTGTTCTGGCGTACTTCGTGTTGGTGTCTTCTGCTTGCTGGAGCGGGATTGCCATGGGGTGCATTGATATAGCCCGGAAACACGTGACTGATAAGAGACATGCTGATGTGGGCATGCGCGTATGTGACTACCCGACTATCCAGGTACTTCCTTTTATGTTATAGACAGAACACCTATTAGCCCACACGTTGACATTTCCTAAGAAATTCAAAAATTACATGCAGACTATACCATATGCTGAGTGTTGTTATATACCGGTAGGAATGGATATGTAGATAGGCCATATAATCACATAGACCATAGATCTACAATTACATCCGAATTTTTTATGTGATTCTTGGCATGCGACATCTTTCAATCGTTTGTCGCTTGAAAATGGGAAATGACAAGCAGTCGAATTTGACATGCAAATTTTTGACAGATATCGAGGTTTAAAGCTTTCATACATGCACTCAGCCTTTGGATCGTAACCATATAAACACCTCCATCAGGGGCGGATTTAGGCCGTCTTCTGGGTCTTCCGGAAGACGGTCAGATTTTTAAGTTTACATTGACGGGTATCTAATGTTTTCTGTCCGAAGACGGTCAAAAATGGAGGATGGATTAACAAAGATAATTTAGAAGACTGTCAAAAAATATCTCTGGATCCGCCCCTGTCCATAAAATGTCAACCGTCTAGGCCCTATCGAAGAGTATAGGCCCTAGTTATCCATCCCTTTCCATTTTTGTCCTTTTTAGGACTACTTTGGAGATTGTGTCCTTTCCACCAATGCTTGTCGCATGTCAGTGTACAGCGCGGCTCGGTTCTATGACAAGGCCACCAACAACAATGACTGGACGAAATACACAGATGCTGACATCAAACAAAGGTAGGCCTAGGCCTAAAGTATAAACGTTTGTTTCACCATCAAGTTGACTCATGGTTGAGGGAAATCACATTTTTTATCTATTTGACCATTTTGTTCTCAATTTACATAGGGCCTATATTAATATAGGTTCTTTTATTTAAAACTACACATGTGGCTTATCTGATTTGAAGAGGACCTATTGAAACCTTGGAATGAATAACACTCATTTCAATTCAAGTAAAATAAATAAATAAATTCTTTCTACTTAACATATATACTTTGTTATGATGGTTTCAATATGATCGACGTAAGCTAGCTCTGTAGTCACGGAATAGTGCTGCCATCTATCGTTCTAAATCGTATACGAACTATAAAAGTACTCAGAGAGTTCAGTGCGTCTCCTAATAAGACCTCCCCACTGATATACTGTGCTAGATGAAGCAAGATCCATTGCACAAGGGCAAGGTCATTAGACCTTTCTCACAATTATGGGGATCCGGATCGCGTACATGTATCTTCACCAAATTTCAATCACTTTAAATTTTACCCATTTTTGACCTTTCCCGAAAATTTTATCAAAATCTATCCATTGCGTCTTGAGTTAGGCTGTTGACAAACGGATAAACTGACAAATGGAGACCTTCTTGGCTTGAGTAATTCTAAAATAAACCTAGGACTCAATACTGAGTTTTACTTAAATCTATAATATCACTTAACATATGTGGTTAATGTAGCGCCCACATATTTCCAGGTCACAGGTCATCCACTGGGGGTTCCAGAGCAAGTACCAAGCGGCCAGAAACGCGGCCAAGGTGTCCGACAAGATGCTGCACGCGTGCGGCGGGGCCGGCTACAAAACAGACATGGGTTGATACATGAATATTTTGATACTAGGATATGATAACGAAGTTTTGTCCATGTTTGTCCATGTCCATGTTTGATGGCTTTGGTGGTTGTTTATTCACATTCAATTTTTTTGCTGAAATTTGCTCTCCCCCCCCCACCCCCCCCACCCCCCCCAAAAAAAAAAATAAATAAAATAAATAAATAAATAAATAAACATTAGTTTGAAAGTTAACGGTATTACTTAACTACAAACCGGACGATACATTTGGAGTGTAATAAATGCGTTGGACGCAAAGAAGAACAAATGGCAATCGCAGTTTATCTCAAGGAGAAAAATCTGTTTTACAATATTTTGAAATATTGAAATATTTCATGTTGAAATATTTCAGAATGATAATACAATTTAACCACTCTCGTCAGGGTTGGAACGCCTTCTGAGAGACAGTAAAGCTGGCAGCGTGATGGGTCCTACAAATGAAGTAATACGCCAGTGGGTTGGTCAGTCCGCTCTCCTCGGCATGGACGTTTTTGACCTGTGGTAGGTGGCAATTTATGACGCTATTATGACGTTGAATTGACGTCACGTAAGGTCACAACTACACTACAATTACGTCAGAATTACGTTTATGATGCTTCTTTTATACTGACGTTTGAATCTCGTCGCCGCAATTATACTTTCAGAACTTAGATGCCAACGGAATTTACAGTAGCCCTTATAATAAGCCTATAGATATCCCTGTAACCTAGCTGTAGCAAAAATGCACTTAGGTCTATAGGTCTATGGCCCACGTTCGATATTGCAATGTTATCAGGAGCACCTCGTGGAAAGTTTGCCGTCAAAGGTGGCCGTCAAAATTTTAATTCTTACTAATAAAAGTACTGAAAATGATTTTTTTTAAAGTAAAATGGTTTTGGTGGAAAAAGGAGATCGGGCCTAACAAATTATACGATTTATCAAAAAAAAAAAAAAAAAAAAAAAAACGCTATAGATTTCTTACAATCCAGGGCACAGAGGGTTAAACCAGGCTTGGTCCACGCCGAAGTCAAGAAAATGACGTTGGACGAAAAGCGAAAACTTGCGGAGAGACTCCTGTCGGAGGTGGAGCTGGAAGAGAACGGAACTTCCGGTCTGGACGCAAACCAAGACGTGCAGTTTGATAACCCGTTCGCCACGTGCCTTCCGCGTAGAGCCAAGGTCACCACGAGCCCAGGCCTGGATCCCGACGTCTACGCCCCTTTGACCTTGCTCGAGAGGATACCAGAAACGGATTGCGTTGAGCGCTTCCTGTTTCAGCTGCCAAGACAGGCCACCCACACCGGATGCCTGCCCGGACAATATGTCCAGGTCAAAGTTCAGGTGAAGGGGAAGATACAGGAGCGCTACCTGTCACCCATGTCCCGCCCTGACAGCCAGGTGATGGAGGTGGGGATGCGTCTTGAAAGTCACGGTCTAATCTCCGACGCTTTCAGGCAACTTAAGAAAGGTAATTATGTTTGTAGGAGTTTGTCTGTCTGTCAGTCAGTTTGACAGGGGCCTACAACACATCTGATAGAAGCATGCATCACTTAAACAAAAGTGTTTCTACTGCTTGCAGTATACAAAAAAGAGACGGAAATGTAGCCAACTACTTAGTCTTATTGTGTCATTGATTTGGTGCGGCATTTGTAAGAATATTACCCTGATGACGGCAACGTAGGCCTACATGATTTTTTTTCTTGCATATTTCCCAGGCGACATATTGGAATGCCGCGGGCCCTGTGGTGGCTTTGAGTATGTTCCTGGAACTCTGGACAACCTGGTCCTGATTGCCACAGGTAACACATTTTACAGGCTGACTTTTGTCCTCTTATTTGTTACACGCTTCAGTAAATCATACTGAAATAGGAGAGAATCTTTCGAATCACTGATTCTGTGCCCAAAATAGCACGTTAATTGTTGCTAAGTGTGTAAATATGAATATAAGTTATGCCTACATAGGACGTCGATAAAACACATAACCTAAACGTAGGTCCTACAAAAATAGGCCCTATATCCTAACCATTCACTGAATTTTTTCTCAAAATGTCAAGCCGGTATCCTTGAAATAAAATATATAGTTACCAGGACTAGAAAGTAAGACTAATGTACGTGCAGATGTGGAACTTAATCTGAAACTTGAAACTCTTCAATTTTTCCCAGGTATCGGAGCCACCCCCGTGATCCAACTCGTCCGCTGCATTGCGCAGAATCCTGATGACCTCACCCGCGTGACAGTCTTCTACCACGCGCGCAACATCGAACAGCTCCTCTGTCGCAATGAGCTCACAAAGTACGCCGCGGAGAAGAAAAACATCAACGTTGCACTCTGTGTTGACGAGGGGGACGACAAGTGGACCGGATTGGAAGGGCTGATCGACCGCTCTACCTTGTCACCGTATTTGCCAGTCCATAATGGGCATAAAAATAAGTTTGTGATATGTGCTGGTCCGCAAGTTGTCGTCACCATTTTGGAGATTCTGCGCGAAGGCGGGCATCCAAGTCAGGATATTTACGTCTACGGAGCGTTTGGAACGAGGCTCGTGCGCTCTGTGTTCGGCAGGAACGCCAAACTGTCCACTCACAAATCTGACTAGAACTCAAGATGTGGTGAAATAACTGCAACAGGGGGTTTTCTTTCGAATTTTGGCTATTTGACCCACTCTACTGACAAAATCCAAGTAAATTTCCGTCCTTAAGTCCAACATTACAAAGAAACATGATTTAAAGACCTGTTAGGACTTACTGGACTAGAAATCCGCCGACATAGTGAGAGGTGCGACTTCTATAGTTAGGGATATACAGTTTTATAAAATTAAATCTTTAACAAACATTGCAATCTGAAACTTACTATTTTCAGGGAGAGAAAACCAGGTTTACTACTCAATTAAGACAATCGCATTTTTAGAATTAAAATTGATTGTGCATGTCTTTATTTCATCTGTGTCTGTACAGAATGCCGTATTTTGAATTTTCTGTCGACTTATGAATTCAACACCATTTTGAAAGAGAAAAATGGAATGCCATTGATAAAGAATATTCTTATTTTTATTTTTTACTTATATAACTTTGCAACATGTTACAGGTACATTTATGGCTTGACAATATAATATGAAAATATATTCGGTTTCGGACTAATAAAAGTACTATATAATATACATATACTGTACTAGTATATAATTAAAGTATGTTTCAGAACTAGTGATTCTGTAATCATTTTTACTATCAGAATATTCAGGTTACCATCTGGCTGACATGCTGAAGTATTGGAGGCATTACTTCGTTCGCCATCCTTTGTTTTATGTTTTATTGTGCGATGTGACTGTTACTCCACCGGCACAAAGATGTACACACTGTACGAACCTTTTAGTTATCTGAGATATTTGTTATTGTACATGTGATTATATATATATATATATATATATATATATATATATATATATATATATATATATATATATATATTTTTTTTTTTTTTTTTTTTTTTTTTTGCTTGGGTATTTGTTCATTGGACTTTTTAAAAGTCTTGTTTGCCATTTTTATTATATATTATTTATCACAAAAGTATCTTGATGAGCCTGTCGTCATTTCTTTTATATATTATACTGTAATTTTGTTTCATTTCCCCAAAATAAAATCTTACTGTAAGAGGCTGGCATTGTCTTAATATCTCGTTTTCAAATTAACGTCATTAAACTATTGTTATTATTCTCATAACAACCGTATAATAGTGAGGTAAATTTATTAATACGGGAATGATAAATTCAAACCAATTTCATTTTAAATTTTTGTTCTAAACTCTAAATAATTCAACTGTTTCAGATCTACATGTAGTAGCTCACCCAATATTGAATATAAATGATACTTTTAAATTTGTTGTAAAAGAATTTAAATTTTTGGATATCGCATGGAGGCGAGAGGTGGCGACAGGGTTTTGTCTTGGCCAGAGCGATCTTTAAAATAATCTTTACATCGCGTTTGGAGCAAAGTACACCGAGTACAACTGATATATTACTTTGAATGCATTGGGTGACGAGGACCGACAGTGAAAATGCATTTGAAAATGTACCAAAGCCGTACGTAATTGTATGTCTAGATATCCTGCAATGCCACTTGTAATCATGTAGGTCTATCTTTCACAATTCAGGCATTGAAAGCAAATTTACAGGGTCAGATCCAGAGATATTTTCTGACATTCTTCCAAATTATCTTTGTTGGTCCACCCTCCATTTTAGACAGTTTTCCGACAGGTAAAAATAGGTGTCCGTCAATGTGCACTTGAAAAATTCTGTTCGTCTACCTAAATACGTACCTGATGTCGACACTGTCTTCGGTATGAAATAAGAATTAATTAGTTATTTAATTAAAAGTGGTGAAAAAAACATCTGATCATCAGATGCAAAGATATGGGTCAATTAGCAATACAAGTGCATGTACACATGCACTATAGTCCCCTATAGATTAAACTATAGGATAACAACTGTTCATTTTGGTTAAAAAAAAAGGATTTTCCTAGGGTGAAGGACAATTTTCCCATACTTGCCAATGGTTACTTTGAATGCTCACATTCAAAGTTAGTCCCCCCCCCTTTTTTTTCCCTAAAAAGTTCGCTTTTTGTGTGTGTGTGATAGTCTCTTAGCAATCTATGGAGGTCACGTGATGTGATGTCAAGCACAAATTCTAGAATAATTGTGTTAAACGCCGTTTTGGAGTAAAATAGAATTTATTATATTTCTATGAGATATTTACAATGTTTTTATTGTGAAATATGAATATTTTACGAACGGTTGTTATCCCTTTAAATGCTTCACAGTATTCACTGAAGTAATTCGGCCTTTTATTTGTCTTGTCTTGCAATGAGCGCCGCCTATAGTATTGTAGTAGGCGAGGATTCTGCTACACACCATTAGTGGGACGGACGGCGGCATGATTGATCGCTGACATTACCAAAAATACGATGGGAAAACGCCGAGGTAAGTCACAAATAAGTCCACGTGTAGTTTGAAACAAAAGACGAAGAGGTCAGAAGTTTGAAAAATTCCCCAAATAGCTTAGTTTCATTGGCAAATGATGAGAAAATTCTTCTCTTTTCGAGGGACACGCAGGTCGACGTCTTGGAAAAACACGTGAACATTTAGTAAATGAAAATTATCAAACACAAGCCGAAAAATCTTTCATACCGTTAGATTATGGCCAACCTGGACGTAGGCCTTCATCATTTATGGTCCAACTATCAAGCTAATTGACATTTTTTGCTCAGGTGTACCTGTATTTTTTACTACGTCTCTGGCTTTGGTCAGGCATAAATATTAATTACACATAGCTGGATATCTGTCAGATTGTTATCAGTGGTGTATGATAAGAAACATGGTGAAATGTGTTAATCAAATTGCACAACTGTCCTCAAATTTGTTCGCATATTATAAATATATTTATTACCTAAATATGTTATGACGTCAAAGAGTAGGCAGTTTTGTAAATAATTTATTACGGTAGAGCAGAAATTTTGTGATTAATCAGTATCATATGACTTCAATGAACCACTTTCACAGTTGATTTAAGATACACCATTAATAGGGTATTTTATTTATTTATTTATTTATTTATTTAGCCGACTAATCCACTGTTGGTCTCCCTGCCACCACTCTGCGGCTCTGAGGTTTAATTGCTAGACCCCTGCAGGGACGGCATATGTAGAGGTCGACAGACCATCTCCGGATTAGTTAGCTCTTCTTTTATGTAGGGTCAGCCATATTTTCGCAGGATCACTAGATCTGAGGATCGTCTGTTGTGAATGCCTTTTAAGGGCTCATTTGTAGTGAAAATATCATTCCTGGTTAGTCGATCCAATTCTGCCAGAACTCTTGCTAAAAGCAATCACATTAACAGATTAGCCAGTCTAACATTACATAGAATACAGAAAAGCTGGTGATCATACTAGTATGTTGGAAACAAGAGGAGGCGTGTTTATCTGATTGCATTCAGCAAATGTCCCCTGGGAGTTGGGTCGATCTATATTGAACAATAGGTTAAGTAGGAATATATATATATATATATATATATATATATATATATATATATATATATGGCCACCATGTAACCCAGTTTTCTAAATGTCAAACTGGTGTTAAGTTATCAGCTGGTCAATTATTTACACTGTGTTCCAGAAGCAAACAAGCTTGCTCCAGATGGGGCTATGATAGGCCTCTTAAGGGCAGCTGTGTAAAGAACTGAAAAATATGACCAGCCAAGAGTTAAGTTGGAACTGCAATATTTTGATGATCTTCAGTAAAAGGACTGTCAGTGAACAAGGAAAATATATAAATTTGAAGAATATATTGAAACTTTAGCACCAAATTTGTGTGAGACTGAGTTAAATACAAGCCACATATTATATATGATATTCTACATCTATTTAAGATAATATTCTACAAAGGTCTTGACACACTGATATGATATTGTACAACTGTCAACAGGTCTTGCCACATTGATATGATATTGTACAACAGGTCTTGCCACATTAAGATATTCTACAAAAGGTCTTGACACACTGATATGATATTCTGCAACAGGTCTTGGAACATTAATATATACTACAACATTTCTTGCCAAATAAATGTATTTTATTTACATACTCAAGTATAGGTTCAGTTTTAATGAATGAGTAAAAAGTGATTAATAAAGGCAAGCACTAGTAAGTGTTATCAAAATAGCTCCAATATGTATCTTCACTGCAGAATGGTTCTAACATGTCAGTGCATGTATTATGATCTCCCTTCTCCATGAGAGAAAAAAGGGTAACCGCTTAAACAAAATGCTCAATTTAAAATCCCCCATGTTACTAACAAAAGCTAAAAAGTCAACTCATTTGAAAAGAATTTCAAGTATTTTACCTGCCTGGGCTTGACTTTTAAATCTTTCTGCAAGTACTAGTATTTTCAAATATTGATCAGAAGTTAGAAAAGAACCATTGCAGCAGGAATGATGTGTAAAACAGGTAAGGATTTGGCTTCATTTAAAACTGGTTTGACCTTATAGGCTTCTTCTTTTAAAGCTGCTGACAATGCATGAATTTCTGAAACTGGAAAAAGAAAAAGGTGTATTCTATTAATTTTTATTTAAATTTTGAATGATCAGAAAGAAATGCCAATTGATTTGTTGGATATGTTGATAACAGAAAAGGAGACATAGAAATTATATATATATATATATATATATATATATATATATATATATATATATATATATTAGTATTTTATTAACCCTCATTATTTAGTTATTATTATTATCAATTTAATGTTTAATATAAATATTTATTTAGTAAACTCTGTAATTTATAAAAAATAAAAGACTTTCTCTTCTTACATCTCGTAGGCTGAAGTTGTTTTTTCTTTACAGTAATAAAATCTGTTACATATATATATTTTTTTCATGAATATAGACAATGAAATTTTCAGAAGTTTACCATAAATGCTGTCCAAGAATTAGGTTCAGTTACGCAGAAAGGAAAGTGTGCATTATTTGCAGAATTCTCATCTCTGGTTCACAAGAGCTGAATTCCAAGTGACTATAATTAGTGACTTTGAAAGATTGGTCAACATTATATCAGCATCTAGGTGCTTTCATGTTTTCATGTGATGCTTCATCATTAATGACCTCACAAGTACTAGTTGTGATCTTCAAACTAAAATATACATCAACTCAAATTCCAGCTGTCACAGTGTTTAAGATAATAATTTATTAAACCAATAGAATACAAATGTATAAATTCGGGAATCTTTAAAATGTACTAAAATGAAATTATGTATAAGCATTAAAAAAAGTTACTGCTGAAGGATAAAAACTAGATAAAAACTGCTTACTAGTATTACCCTTGCCTTGCATCATACTTAATGAGTCATGTCCCTAAAAACATTGACAAGTTACTAGTACATGCATTCAGTGCTGTGGCTTAAACAAGGTGTCACTTACAAGCTGTACTATTTGACAGATTTTTTTATCATTTTGTTGAGCAACAACAAATAATAACTAAATAAATAATAAAAACTGATGAAAAGTTTAAACCATTTATTTATTTATTTATTTAATTATTTTATTTTATTTTATTTTATTTTATTTTATTTTATTTATTTGGTCAGTGAATTGATGAAGAATGGATTGCCAATGACTGGATTATTTATTTCAGAGGTGGCCACCAAAGTTGGCCAGACTGGACCACCCCCCCTGGAGCCAGACAAGGAGTATGTGAACCCAGGCCGAGAGGACCAAATGGTAGGTTATGTACCTGGAGACACATGAAAAGAGAGAGGGGTGGTTTGGTTGGGTGGGTGGGGTGAGGGGAGAGGGGGGTAGCTGGTCAGTTACCAGTAGGGCCAGGCAAGAAGTATGTAACCCAGGCCAAGAAGACCAAATGGTAGGTTATGTGCTTGGAGAAACATGAAAGGTTAAGAATTGGACTGAAACTGTCATAGCTGAACAATGTCCTTGTTATAAAAAGGTGCAGTATTACAAACAACTGTTCTACTTCTGGTTACTCTTGGGTTGGAACAGACCAGAATTTTGGAGTGATGGGGGAAAGAAGGTAACAATAAATAAAAATGATTACTTTTTGGTTTCAGGAAATCAGTGGATATCAGCGCAGTAGGGTAAGAACAGTGCTGGCCTGGCTGGGATATCTATTCACTGCGGGACTGCTGCGCCTGGTCTTCCACTGGAGACCTGATTGGATGCTGAAAGTGACACATACATCTTGTCGCCTTGGCAACGCTGGAGCCGTCATGTTAAAGGTACAATTTCAGGATTAGTACAAGCAGATTTTTTTTTTTTTAAGTGAAATTCTCAAATCCAAGTTTCTTGATATCTGTATAATTTTATTTCAGGATCAGTACAAACAGATCTTTGTGGAGAAAGTGAAGACGATTACCAAAGATGGCACCAGGTATGGAGAATTGCCTCTTTCTTCAACCATAATGACACAAATTATTATTAGAAAAAATAAATTGGTATTTTTAAAAATATTTCCCTTTTATGGTTTTGAATATAAAGTCATTTACTAATGAAATGCTATATAAAACATGTTAAATATTTGTGAATAAATAGAGTTGTTGATCCCAGAAGTAATTTCCACTGCTCAGCGGCTGGAAAAGACACTTCCTTGCTATTATCTCTTCACATTTCCATCAGCTTAATGCACATAAGCATCATTTTCAATACTGATCTCATCTTAACACAGTTGTATTATTATTATACTGACTGTTTCAGTGTGAAGATAGTCCCGAGGAGAGATGGAAGAGAAAGCCACCTCTTAATGCCTGGACTGAAGGTATGTCTCACCATCCACCCCCACCCCACCCCTCCCCAGCTGTGTTAATACAGTCTGTGATGTAAGTTAGGAAAAATGTGAGAATATAGCTGCTGTGTTTTTTGTGTGTGAGTGATGGCATGTTTTACGATTGAATGTTTCGTATTCAGTTTTTTGTTATGATAAAAGCATAGGCCTGTAAACTGCACTTGTCATATCTGTAAGATTTTTATTGCTGGGGTAGCACTGGTAATTTATTTCTTTTAGACAAGTCACTACTTTTTCATCACTTTTTTCTCCAAATGGTTTAAATTTGACAAAAACAAGTCAAATCAACCATTTTTTGTTTAGCCAACGTAATTCAGTTTTAGCATTTGGCTATATTGGTGAGTGTTAGCACTACCCCAAGAGTACACATATGAATGATTTAAGTGATTTGTACATGATGTGTTTTACAGCACTGTGAATGTGAATGAAGAGTGTTCTTATATTGTCGTGTATTTCCTTGATGATGTCTCCCCCTCCCCCCAACATACAAATAACGTCATTTAATTGTTGTTGATGATTGGTTGATTTTCTCTCTCTCCGTAGTCGTCACGTCAGGGGAGTTCGGGTGATCTCGTCATGGAGCCCTTGTATCATGTATGTAACCATGGCATGTTTGATATATATCACCAGAAAGGATACATTGTATCCTCCCTCTGATGCATGGCTTCTGATAGCTCCCACTTGCATTTATTTTATTATTATTATTATTTTTTTTTTTTTTTTTTTTGCAGCCTTTTTTTTTTTTTTTTTTTCAATGTTTGGTTGTTCATAAAAATAAATAATAAGCATGTTGTTATTTTTGTACTTTTATCATGGTGACAAGTTTAATCTTTATTATTTCTTTCTATCCTTATGTGGGACAGGAGTTTCCTTTTCTTTTTTTGNCTTATTATAAATATATTTATTACCTAAATATGTTATGACGTCAAAGAGTAGGCAGTTTTGTAAATAATTTATTACGGTAAGGCAGAAATTTTGTGATTAATCAGTATCATATGACTTCAATGAACCACTTTCACAGTTGATTTAAGATACACCATTAATAGGGTATTTTATTTATTTATTTATTTATTTATTTATTTATTTATTTATTTATTTAGCCGACTAATCCACTGTTGGTCTCCCTGCCACCACTCTGCAGCTCTGAGGTTTAATTGCTAGACCCCTGCAGGGACAGCATGTGTAGAGGTGGGCTGACCATCTGCGGATTAGTTAGCTCTTCTTTTATGTAAGGTCAGCCATATTTTCGCAGGATCACTAGATCCCAGGATCGTCTGTTGTGAATGCCCTTTAAGGGCTCATTCCTAGTGAAAATATCAATCCTGGTTAGTCGATCCAATTCTGCCAGAACTCTTGCTAAAAGCAATCACATTAACAGATTAGCCAGTCTAACATTACATAGAATACAGAAAAGCTGGTGATCATACTAGTATGTTGGAAACAAGAGGAGGCGTGTTTATCTGATTGCATTCAGCAAATGTCCCCTGGGAGTTGGGTTGATCTATATTGAACAATAGGTTAAGTAGGAATATATATATATATATATATATATATATATATATATATATATATATATATATATATATGGCCACCATGTAACCCAGTTTTCTAAATGTCAAACTGGTGTTAAGTTATCAGCTGGTCAATTATTTACACTGTGTTCCAGAAGCAGACAAGCTTGCTCCAGATGGGGCTATGATAGGCCTCTTAAGGGCAGCTGTGTAAAGAACTGAAAAATATGACCAGCCAAGAGTTAAGTTGGAACTGCAATATTTTGATGATCTTTAGTAGAGGACTGTCAATGAACAAGGAAAAGTATATTGGAATAATAAATTGAACCTTATGCACCAAGTCTGTGTGAGTTAAATACAAGCCACATATATGATATTCTACATCAGGTCTTATCACATTAAGATAATATTCTACAAAAGGTCTTGACACATTTATATGATATTGTACAACAGGTCTTGCCACATTGATATTATATATTCTGTAGCAGGTCTTGGAACATTAAGATATTCTACAACAGGCCTTGCCAAGTAAATGTATTTTATTTACATACTCAAGTATACTAGTAGGTACAGTTTTAATGACTGAGTAAAAAGTGATTAATTAAGGCAAGCACTAGTAAGTGTTATCAAAATAGCTCCAGTGTGTATCTGCACTGTAGAATGATTCTAACATGTCAGTACATGTATTATGATCTCCCTTCTCCATGAGAGAAAAAAAAGGGTAACAACTTAAACAGAATGCTCAATTTAAAATCCCCCATGTTACTAACAAAAGCTAAAAAAGTTAACTCATTTGAAAAGAATTTCAAGTATTTTACCTGCCTGGGCTTGACTTTTAAATCTTTGTACTAGTCACTGAGGTGCTGAAGCTCAGTATTTTAAAATATTGATCAGGAGTTAGAAAAGAACCATTGTTACCAGAATAATGTGTAAAACAGGTAAGGATTTGGCTTCATTTAAAACTGGTTTGACCTCATAGGCTTCTTTTATTAAAACTGCTAACAGTGTATGAATTTCTGAAACTGGAAAAAGGAAAAGGTGTATTTTATGAATTTTTTTAATGATCAAAAAGAAATGGGCTGCCCAATTAAATTTCCTGACTCTGCCAGGTCCTTAGGGCCAATTGACTTGTCAGATATGTTGATAACAGAAAAGGAGACATAGAAATCATTTCTGAGACTTCCTAGATATTTCATGAATATAGACAATGAATTTTTTAGAAGTTTACCATAAATGCTGGACATCCAAGAATTAGGTTGAAAGCAAAGTGAGCATTATTTGCAGAATCCTCATCTCTGGCTTACAAGAGCTGTATTCCAAGTGAAAATTATTTGTGACTTTGAAAGATTGGTCAACATTATATATCAGCATCTAGGTGCTTTCATGTTTTCATATACTAGTATGATGCTTCATCACTAATGACCTCACAAGTACTAGTTGTGATCTTCAAACTGAAATATACATCAACTCAACCTCCAGCTATCACAGAGTTTAAGATAATAATTTAAACCAATAGATTTACAATTGTATTAAAGCGGGAATCTTTTGCCCTGTAATAGTGCCATTGTTGAATAAAACTTTTAAATGTACTAAAATGAAATTATGAAATTATGTATAAGCGTTAAAAAGAGCTAGATAAAAACTGCTTACTAGTATTACCCTTGCCTTGCATCATACTTAATGAGTCATGTCCCTAAAAAAATTGACAAGTTTCATGCATTAAGTGCTGTGGCTTAAATAAGATGTCACTTACAAGGTGTACTATTTGACAGATTTTTTTTATCATTTTGTTGAGCAACAACAAATAATAACTAAATAAATAATAAAAAACTGATGAAAAGTTTATACCATTTATTTATTTATAAGTATTTTTATTTTTATTTACTTATTTATTTTATATATTTGGTCAGTGAATTGATGAAGAACGGATTGCCAATGACTGAATTTTTTTATTTCAGAGGTGGCCACCAAAGTTGGCCAGACTGGACCACCCCCCCTGGAGCCAGACAAGGAGTATGTGAACACAGGCCGAGAGGACCAAATGGTAGGTTATGTACCTGGAGACACATGAAAAGAGAGAGGGGTGGGTTGGGTTGGGGGGGGGGGGGGCTAGCTGGTCAGTTACCAGGGGCCGGTTTCACAAAGCAGTAGTTAGTTAGCGATCGGTAGTTAGCCTGTCGCTAGTTATAGTGCCGTTTCACGAAGCAGTCGCTAGTTCTCTCGCTCGTTATTGTCTCGTTGTTGCCTTGGATATTTAACGACTGGTCAGACCAGTCGCTAACTCTAGAGTTTCATCGTACGCATGCGTAATGAGTGAAATAAAAAGGTAGCTTAGTTACCGTTGTCTGTCGTTTGTCTTTGTATCCAATATGGCGGCTACCTTTCTTGCTAACCGTACCGCCAGACGGCAACGTAGACTACGACGTTTTCATGGAAGGCAGAATCTATTAGAATATACACACGATGATGCAATTTACGAGAGGTTGCGCCTAGCTGTGACAAAAAGAGCGGCAAAAAGGTGGTTGAGATCCTTTACGACGCCCTCAAAGCAGACGTTCTTATGCATTTCCAGCCACCAAAAATTGGAGAGTTAGTGCTTTCGTGACACTTTTACGCAAGAGTTCCACTTCCGGCAGACGGTTTCGAGACTACGGTGAGTAACGAGAACTTTACGACTGAACTTAGCGATAAGTTAACTACTGCTTCGTGAAACACCCCTCGAAAACCGCTAAGTTTGCTCGTTAGCGAGGTAGTTCAGTAGTTAGTTGTTCTAACTAACTACTGCTTTGTGAAACCGGCCCCAGTATAGCAAGGGAAGAAATTTGACAATCAAAACCATAGGGGTTAAAATGAAGGAGAGAGGGGTGGGGGAGTAGGGGGTTAAGGTGGTCAGTTACCATATGAGCCAGGTGAGAAGTATGTGACCAAATGGTAGGAAGTAGTTGGTGATGGTAGTAACTTAGTGGTGTTTGCTTGGGGCTGATTACAGGAAAGACATTGGTTTAGCATGAAAACAAAATTTTGATCTACAACAGTTCACTTCTTTAAGGTAAGAATTGGACTGCAACTATCATTGCTGTGCATTGTCCTTGTTATAATAGGTGCAAAATAACTTACTGTTCTGCTTCTGGTTACTCTTGGGTCAGAACATACTAGAATTTTGGGGTGATGGGAAAGAAAAGGTAACAATAGATAGAAATGATTATTTTTGGGTTTCAGGAAATCAGTGGATATCAGCGCAGTAGGGTAAGAACAGTGCTGGCCTGGCTGGGATATCTGTTCACTGCAGGACTGCTGCGTCTGGTCTTCCACTGGAGACCTGATTGGATGCTGAAAGTGACACATACATCTTGTCGCCTTGGCAATGCTGGAGCTGTTATGTTAAAGGTATGGATAACCACTGTTTGAATTTTTGCAAAAATTTTTGGCAGCATGTGCCGTTTCATAATTTTTCTTTGATAACATTGCACAATAGCTGGAATTCCCAGAGCACTTTATGGTGACATTTCACCTTGTTTCATTGAAATCTATAGGGCTCTGTTTGTGATTGTAGTTTGGTTTTTTACTGCAGAGAAAACTTTTTAACTCGTATATCCACCTACCTGAAGTCGATTTAGTTCTTGGGCTTTGAAATCTGAAAATCTGAAAATGCCAAACTTTCTTGATTTCTTATGAGTCTGTTAAAATTTCAGGATAGGTACAAGCAGATTTTTTTTAAAGAAAGTGAAATCCTCAAATTCAAGTTTCTTGATATCTGTATAATTTTATTTCAGGATCAGTACAAACAGATCTTTGTGGAGAAAGTGAAGACGATTACCAAAGATGGCACCAGGTATGGAGAATTGACATGTGCCTCTTTCTTCAACATAATGATTTCTTTATGTAATGACATAAATTATTAGAAAAATAAATTATTATCTTTAAAAATATTTCCCTTTTATTGGTTTGAATATCAAGTCATTTACTAATGACATGTAAAATATTTGTAAATAAATAGAGTTGTCCATCCCAGAGGTAATGTCCACTACTCAGTGACTGGACAGCACACTTCCTTACCATTATATCTTCACATTTCCAGCAGTTTTATGGACACCAACTTCTTATTCACTATTGATCTCATCTTAACGCAGTTCTGCTGTTATACTGACTGTTTCAGTGTGAAGATTGTTCCGCGGAGAGATGGACGGGAAAGCCACCTGTTGATGCCTGGACTGAAGGTAGGGCTCATTCCCCATCCCCCCCATCCCCCTCCCCACCCCTCCCCATCTCTCCACAGCTGTGTTTATACAGTCTGTGTTGTAAGTTAGGAAAATGTGAGATATAGCCGCTGTGTTTTTTTTGTGAGTGAGTGACGGCATGTTTTACAATTGAATGTTTTATATTCGATTTCTTTATGATAAAAGCACAGGCCTGTGAGCATTTTTTTCCCTTTTTTTTTTGGGGGGGGGGGGGGGGGGGAGGGTGAGGAGGGATAAAAATGCCTTTTTAGATGAAGAAGAAATATTCTGAATCAAATTTTGATAAAATTGAGGGGGTAGAAGGGTCAAAAGTGTCATTCCCCTCCCTTTCCTTGTAAAAGCTGACTACAGAATCTGTGGTATATGTTGGATGAAGTGATTGCCTTGCACTTGTCATATCTGTAAGATCTTTATTGCTGGGGTAGCGTTGGTAATTTTTTCTTTTAGCCAAATCACAACTTTTTCATCACTTTTTTCCTCCAAATGGTTTTAATTTGACAAAAACAAGTCAAATCAACCATTTTTTGTTTAGCCAACTTAATTCAGTTTTAGCATTTGGCTATATTGGTGAGTGTTAGCACTACCCCAAGAGTACACATATGAATGATTTAAGTGATTTGTACATGATGTGTTTTACAGCACTGTGAATGTGAATGAAGAGTGTTCTTATATTGTCGTGTATTTCCTTGATGATGTCTCCCCCTCCCCCCAACATACAAGTAACGTCATGTAATTGTTGTTGATGATTGGTTGATTTTCTCTCTCTCCGTAGTCGTCACGTCAGGGGAGTTCGGGTGATCTCGTCATGGAGCCCTTGTATCATGTATGTAACCACGGCATGTTTGATATATATCACCAGAAAGGATACATTGTATCCTCCCTCTGATGCATGGCTTCTGATAGCTCCCACTTGCATTTATTTTATTATTTTTTTTTTTTTTATTATTTATTATTTTTTTTTTTTTTGCAGCCTTTTTCTTTTTTTTTTTATCAATGCTTGGTTGTCATAAACATAGATAAGAAGCATGTTGCTATCTGTGTACTTGTAGCATGGTGACAAGTTTGATCTATATCATTTCTTTCTATCCTTATGTGGGACAGGAGTTTCTGTATTTCTTTGTGAGAACAACATGTTTTATTCGCTTTATTTTTTCTTTTATTCTCCTTTATTTGCTTTGAAAATCGACGAGAATCTGACACAGCTACATTTGCTCATTTTTATGAGCATAACAAGAGTAGGCCTGTACGTGCTGCATTCATCTTTCTTTTTATAATAGAATTTAATTATTATTATTATAACAGTTCCCTTTAACATAATTTCCAAAGGTAAATCTTTACACTTAAAAAAATGTACACCTTATTTTGACCCCCTAATGCTTTATATTCCTTGCCCCCCCCCCCCCCCAAAAAAAAAACAAAAAAAACTTTAAAGAAAAATGGGTTACCCATAGTGCTTATCACCTAGTATCCACTTCTTTTGGCTTCTACACGCAAATACTAACACCATTGGGTTATGATGCGTAGAATACTAGAACACTAACTCTTCAGCTTTTAATATTCAGGACTTTATGGTTTTATGTTTGCACTCAGGATAACTGTGTGTTTATTATCAGGGCTTGGGTTCTAATGTTTACACTCAGATGATCATGTCATTATGTATTTATATATGTGGCAACAGGTGGTTGAATATCATTAGTTTTGTCAAACCTCGAGGATGTAAAACATTTATATGAACATTGTGAATATTAGCAGTAAAGATTGTACTCTTGTTAAGAGAAAAAACAGAAAAAAAGCAGGCAAAATCAGCAAAGAAAATTAAATACTTATATACACTTTGTAGAACTTCTTTACATTTTCTGGCAAATTCATACAGCTGTGACACTGTTGATAAAATTTCAGTTGTACCTGACTTGAAATGAAATAATTTTGGTACAGCCTTGATTCTTTTTTTTTTTTTTTTTACATCTCCAGGACGACAGCTTGGTTCGTTACTTCTCAAACAAAAAATTGAAATACATCTGGAATGCTGAGAAACAAAGTTATTCCAAGCTGAGGTAGGTCAAGCCAGTAAACAGTAGAGTGAGTTGGCGGTGCATGTGTGGGTGGCAGGTAGCACCTCTCTGCGGCTGTATTTATACTATGAAAAGTAAAAAACTATTTGTTATTGTGAAAGAGTATTCATTTCAATTTTTAATTGAGAGTGAACTTCTTGTAAAGGAGTGGGATTGTATGTGTTGTTTGTAATTATTGGACAAAAAGCATTCAAATATGATACAGTGGTGACATCTACAGTGTATTCATGAAAATCATTTGACACCCAGTTCATTTTTTAAAATACTGTGTTTGTCTTGACTTGTAATGTCTGACAAAAGATAATAACAAAAACATTATTAAAAATTAACAGACGTTGTAAATCCAGAGATGTGTTTTTTAGATGTGTATAAAACAACACTATTTATTTGTTTGATTTATTTGTTTGTCAACACATTTCGTCATGTTATTTCAGAGGCATAGAAGAAGGCGTGTCATGTGCTTATTTTCATAACTGCCATGGACTGTCAGAAGTGGAGAAAATCAGGAGGTAGGAATAAATCTCTCTCTCTCTCACTCTCTCTCTCTCTCTCTCTCTCTCACACACACACACACACACACACCCTTCTCCTCGTTCATCTCCTCTCACTGTCTCTCTCCTCTTACCTTGTATTTGTGTATGCATAGAATTGTCAGTTATGGTTTACATTTTGTGGAAGTGCACTCTGATGCTGCCACATAGCAGAAGATAACTGATGCGTTGACTATTCACTGAAGTTCTTTATTTTACAGGCGGGTGTTGTATGGTGCTAACCACATAAGAGTACGTGTTACCCCAATTATTCAGATACTGTTTCTACAGGTAAGTGAAGTGGCAGACTTCTGTTTTACTGCTGATATTAAGACCTTTTTTATAGATAAAAACATGCCATTTAGTCTCTTTATAATTGATTAAATTTTCTACCATCTTTAAATAAGAAACGATAAATAATCTATTCAGCTGAATATTTTGATAATTTTTTGCAGGTGCTAAACCCATTCTATATCTTTCAAGTGTTCAGCTGCATTTTGTGGTACGTGGATGAGTACTACTACTACGCCTCTTGTATTGTGCTCATCTCGGCCATATCCATCTGTACCTATGTCTATCAAACACGACAGGTGAGCACTTTGTGCTGAGCAGTTTTGTACCTCATTTGAAGAGCTTAAAGATAATGCATATCTTATAAAATATAAATGTTTTAATCATTGGGTCATTATCCTTTTAAGATGAATTTCTGCTAAAATTGAGAGAGAGAGAGAGAGAGAGAGTATGACTCATCTTTTGACTCTGGGATTGATTTGGTAATTTAAATAAATTCTTAAAGACCATTTAAAAATCTGATTGAAGGCCAGCACTAAACGGCATTATCATATTTTGACCCTTGTGTTTACAAAAAGCTCAAAAACCAAGACACATTAAAAAATATCTTGTTAGAAAGTGACTTTATTTTGTCCGTAATATACCTGACAATACACTTGTTGTAACATGTATGCCGAGGTCAGATTTTCTCTTCCCAGATGCAGCGGCGTTTAAGAGAAACCATCCAAGCCTCAGGCACAGTATTTGTGTCTCGAGGAGAGGGAGGTAAGTGGTGTACAGCTAGAATCACATCAGATGGCGTGCCACTGATATACATGTCTAGTTTTAGTCTGATTCTAAGACACTGACACAACAAATCACACCTTTAAGGTTTTTCAGATGTTTTTCATCTTATATACTTTTTTTTTATCGTTTTCTAATTCAACAGAATTTGTAGAAGTTCCGTCCTCAGAGTTGGTGCCTGGCGATTTGATAGAAATCCCTCGTTACGGCTGCATCATGTCATGTGATGCTGTTCTTATCAACGGGAACTGTATTGTCAATGAGAGCATGCTGACAGGTATGTATAGTGGTGACATCTATTATTAGCTTTTTCCAGATGTAATGCTGTGCTCAAACCAGTAAATAAAAGTATATCAAAATGAGTAAGCAAGCCAAACTTTTGTAGTATCATTGTGCAGAATGGAACCTCATTTTTTATATTTTTAAAAATTCTAAAAATTATTTTTATTATTATGATCATCTTTTCTTCCCTCACATTACAGGAGAGAGCGTCCCAGTCACCAAGACTGCCCTCCCCAACCCCATGATATCCAAGGAGCAGAGAGACGTCCACTTCAGTCTACGGGAAAACTCCCGCAATGTGCTCTTCTGTGGGACCAATGTCATCCAGACACGTTACTATGGCAATCAGAAGGTCAAGGCCGTGGTCATCAGGACAGGTAAGTCAAGAGAATTGTCGAAAATGGTATAATCCAGATCCGTGAGAAAGTTCAGGATTTGTGTTGGGATATCTGCAGAGTTAAGACAAACATTTTCTAAGTAGGGGTGATATTTTGAATGACATTGAATGATTTGATGAGTTTTATATGCTCAAGAAAAAAAGAAACAAAAATTCTTCACTAACAAAGCACTTGGGGATTGTAGAAATTTAATTTTCCGAAGTTAGTTAATCAGTTAGACCAGTGAAAATACAAGCATTTGTTTTAAAGTTTAAAATTTAAATTTTCGTAACAAATACCATATTTCAAGTATTTTTATTTCAGGTTTTATGACTTCAAAGGGAGACCTGGTGCGATCCATCTTGTTCCCTAAACCAGTCGACTTTAAGTTCACGCGAGACACTTACAAGTTTGTGGGTGGTTTGAGTTTCATGTCCTTCTGTGGCTTTGTCTACACTGCTGTTATAATGGTGAGTTACAAATTAAAAAAAAAAAAATCATGGTATTATGATTAGTACACCATGGGTGAAAAACTAATCATTCTGTTGCCCCTCCAAAAATACTATTCCATCAGAGAGGGAACTGCAATAATTTCAAAGAGAAAATCTTATCTTTCTATCCCCCCCTTCCACATTATTTTTATATTTGATAAGTAGTATACAGATAGGGAACATTCACAAACATTTATTGCTATTATTTTCTCCCACACAGGCCATACGTGGCGACACCTTTGGGAAGATCATGCTGCGTTGCTTGGACTTGGTAACCATCGCTGTACCGCCAGCATTGCCAGCTGCGCTGACAGTGGGAAGCGTGTTTGCCCAGGGACGTCTGAAAAAGCGGGACATTTTCTGCATCAGTCCCTCCAGTATTCCTGTCACTGGCTCCATCAATGTCGTCTGCTTCGATAAGGTGAATTTCTGTGATAACGTTATGAAAGGGAGGAATATAGAAATCTACCTGTCAGTAGTTCAACCTGATACTTCAAGTGGTAGAACTCTGCATTACACTGACATTGGATAGACTTCATCAACTTATAGTCTGCCTTTACACTGATCATTAACTTAGAGATTAGTAAAATAAACCCTGAAATGTTTAAAAAAATCCAATCTCTACATACAGTAACTTTACATGTAGTGTCATCCTCAAGCATGTAAAGGAACAAAGCAATAAGCTCAGTAAAACTCCTTACAGAGCTTTGAGTTGTGTAGCCAAGTGCTCTGTAATTAGGGATGTAATTTTTCAGGGTTTTTTTTCCCAATTTCAGGTTTTTGACTTCTTTTTTTTTTTTTTTAACTTTGTCTTTAACTTTTTTGGAATATTTGCTCAATAGCTTCAATCCCCTCTCT